TAAAACTATAAAAACGGGTTTAAAGTTTATCAAAAAGATAAATTTTAGTCTACGAAAAATCAGGTTGGGTCCGAGAGTCGGTTACGCGTGGGGAAGGATTAACACCTCCACAACGTCCATAAATTGGTACCATTTAATTACGCATTATTTTCGGTATTGGATAAAAATTGTTTTAATTTGAAATTTAACACTAATTCCCTTCATTTGAAAAAATAAAATTTTGCTAAAAATTTTTATTTTGAACTATTGAGAAAATCTTTAAGTTAAAGAATTATCTTAAAATTTTCCAACATTTAAGCAGAATTTAAAATAACTCTTTTAGCTTAAAATTTAATACAATAACCTTTAAAATGAAATAATAATCTTTATAGAAAATAATTGTTAGTGACTCTCCAACATCTAGGCAGAGTACCAAGAATTATTTCTTTCGAAATGTTATTTTTATTTTATTTTATAATATCACAAAAAGATTTTTTTTAAAGTATTATTCTTTTTTATTATAAAATATTTTATTATTAAACAATAAATTAAAGAGATAATAATGCAGTCAATTATCGATGATAACATGCTAACGTATGTATGCTAATGAATGTCATGTAAAATGAAATGCAATTTAAGAGTTGGATTCTTAAGTATAATGAGACCATCCCGACTCTCCAACATCTAGGTAGAGCTTAGGTGCGATTGTTTATATTTAAGATCCTAATTCTATTATACTTTTTATTTATTAATCTTATTATTAATGTGAATTAAGAACTCGTGTGAAAAACTTGATGAAATGGAGTTTCCTAAATACCCCATCATTTAGGCAGCATTCGGAAATAAACCATTTCATGTGAGATTTTCACACATATCCTTAAAGTTTAAAAAAAGATTTAGGGTGAAAGTTTAGGGTTCAAGTTTAATTAAAACGCGAACATTTCTAAAAATCTCCATCATCTAAGTGAACTTTCGGAGTAAGTTCAAATATTTTTTAAAATTTGAAAACTAATTAAAAAAATTCTTCTATATTTCTTTTTATGAAAATTTATTAATAATAATTCTCCAACATCTAGGCGAAATTATTTGTTTAAGAAAATATTTTTTATTCCCTCAATCATCTAGGTAGGGAAAATAAAAAGCTTATTCCATTATTATTATTATTATTATTATTATTATTATTATTATTATTATTATTATTTAAACATTTCAATATTTTTTTTAGTTATTATCTTATATTGTTTTCATTTTATTATTATTAATAACAATTAGATATTTCTCCTAATAAATTTAAACATTTATCATGCATAAATATAAAATAACAAAAATAATAATATATAAAAAAATAGAAAAAAAATTTTTTTATCTGAATCGGACCGATCAACGATCCAGTCAACGCTGGTCTAGGTCAATCTAACCGGTTTGGTAGTTCAATCGACGGTTCGGTGATCCGACGGTTCAAACCTATTTACTGACGGTTCATCTGAACCGATTCAAAGTTGGCTAAAGCGGACCGTCGAGTCAGGTTGCGAGGATCTCGAGTAAGGTTCAGTTCACGCTCGGATCCTCTATGCTTGAAATGACGTCGTTTTGATCCTATGCTCAAAACGACGTCGTTTTACCCTTATGTTTTCCATAAAAATCAAAATTTTTTCCTCAGTTTGTTTCATTCACAGAAAAAAAAGGTCTAGAGGTTCTCTGGCTTCGTCGAAATTCGATGTCGGGCGTTACGCTGATCGCCGCTTGAGTCACCACCGACGGTGGTCGCTGGCGATCGAAAAATGATCAAAAAGTCACCAAAAATTCCTCTCGACGCTTTCTTTCTCGATCCGACCTTCGTTTGGCCTGAAAATGCCTTGACCGTCGCGAATCGGCCTTCAAAGTTTTTGAACTCTCATCTTTTTCCTTTTTTTTTTTGGGATGACTTGAACTGATGATTTCTCCTTGTTTCAGGTGGCTATGGCACTGAGTTTCCTCCTTCCGGGGAGGACTGTGTTGTGTTTTTTGTTTTTATTTTTTTTTGTTAGATATGTTTCGTTTTCGATTTGGGTATTTTGAGGGGTTGTTTGAAATTTGATTTTTTATGCATGGGAATGAGGGTCTGTCTGGAGGTGTTGAGAATGTTTTGAAGTGGGGTTCTTCTGAGCTCAAGGGTTTTTTCAGAGAGTGTTCGAAAGAGCTTGAAGGGGAAAGGGCTGGAGATTTTAAAAGACTTAAATTAGGGGGATCTAGGTGGTTGTAGGGTGGCTGTAGGTGGGCTGAAAGGGAACTGGTCAGGGGGCGTCAGGGGCTGGACAGAGGTTGCAGCGGCACTGTACCAACCTCTAGTTTCTGCCTCATTTCTTTTTTTTTTTAATTTAATTTTTTAATTAATTAATTATTGTATATATTTTAAAATTTTTATTATTATTATTAATATAAAATAAAAACAGTAAACCCGGACAAAACCGATGTCTACAAATTAGTTGTAAAATTCTTTTTTATAATTAAAAAATCCTCAATTTCTCTAGTACTACAAAATAAAAGAAAAAGAAAAAACCTAAATTTGAGTTGCAAATCTAAAAATTTCTCCACCAAACAAAACAAAAATTTCAAACAACCAAAAATTCCAAAACTATCTTTCTCTCCTTCAAATGCTTATTCATCATCATGAAACACAATAAAAAAATAATTCCAATAAACCACTTAAAATCAAAATCTAATTTCAAAATTTTAACATAAATCTCATAATTTAAATAAAAATTCATAAAATATTAAGAATTCACAATTACAAAGTAAGAAGCAATGAAGAGAGAAATTTATGAGACTTAAAATAATTTAAAATACGATACGATAACACGATATAAATAAAAATATAAAATTAATATGATTTAAAATTTTAGAAAAATTATAAAAAAATTTAATAAAATTAAAAAATTATATTTTATATTTTCATGTCGACATAAATTATAACATATAATTTTTATATAAAACATAATATGAATAAAATATTTTACACAATATAATAATACAAATGATCACATTTACTTAAAAACATGCCAAGTAAAAATATAGCACAAATTCTGGAGAAAGAAAGCCCCGTTATTTAAAGTACAATCTTTACCATATGAAGAAATTGCTTTTTTAGGGAGATTAGGATTTAGGTCGCATTTGGATGCTCGATTAATTCTAGTGAGGTGCAGTTGAGGTTCCTTAATCTACCGGTGGTTCGTTTAGCACACTAATCTAGTTTGATTTTGTGGTTTTCAACTGGACTGATTTCTTAAATTTTCACTGGCCAACGCTCTCTCTGGTGCAAATTCAACACTCCACCGCATATCTCATTTCCTATTATACCCCAAATTTTTTTTTTCTTTTATGCCTTTGAAATAAAATGTGCGGACAAATATGTTTCCTACATTTATGGACTTTGATTTGACATTTTTTATTTATTTAGTTTTTCTTTTTTGTTATTTTATTTTTCTTTTTCTAATTTAAAGTTTTTAAAATTAATTTATTATAATTAGTTAAAAAATCATTTATATTATTGTTTAATAAATTAATTAATTAATAGAAAAAATATTAAGTACATAAATAAATAAATAATCAATTTTCTAATAATAAATTATTAGTGAATGAAAAAAAAAATAGATAACTACATAAATAATAAAGTAAATAAATAATAGTTATTTTAAGATGTATAAATGCATTATTATTTTTTAAAAAAATTTTTTATTTTTAAATATAAAGAAAAATATAAATAATAAAATATATAGTCAACTTATTTATTAAAAAATAATTACAAAATAAATAAAAATAGATATATAATTATATAAAAGTAAATTTATTAAATTTCAATTATTTGTTAATTTTATAAATGCCAAATTTATTATAAAATTTATTATATATCAATTTTAATCTAATGTTTATAATGATCCTTTTTTTTTTACATTTCATCTCACTATTACCGTTACATTTGTATTCAAATATATATTTTATCATTATTTTTAATCACATCATTATAATACTTAATTTTACTATTATAATAATTAATCTTACTACTATCATTATTTTTAATCTCATCAAAATTAATTTTACCACTACATAATTAAAGAATATTGAAAATTTTTTGAAAAGAGAAAATGAGAATTGAAGAAAAGGAATAGGATAAAATTTGAGTAAAGGTGCAGCATATTAGTTGATCATGTCATTTTTATGAGTTTTTTTTTTTTTTTTTTTTAGTGATGAGAAATGAAACTTAAAAAGAAATTAGAGTTACAAGAAAGAATTTATAGAGAGAATAAGAGAGAAATGAAAATATATATATATATATATATATATTATTGTAATCTTACTGGAAATTTGGATTTCACTTTTTCCAAATTTTTCTCTCAAATTTTTACAAAAATAAATTTTTTAAACCCTAGAACCCTTTTGTTTTAAGAGATTGGGGGTTGGATTTTTTTTCATTTTTTTATTTTATTTTAATTGAAATTATTGTTAACACCAAATTTTAACGACACATCTATCATGCTACGTCAATAATTTTGTTTGATAAAAATAAATTAATATGTCTCATTCTCTTATGTAATTCATATTAAAAATAAGAAATTTATTTGAATAAATTCAAAAATATTTTATTCTTAATTAAATATTTTTCATTGAAACAAAAAAACATACATTAAGTCTCAAATTAAATATTTAATCTTTTATTAATAATAAAAAATTTCGATATTTTTAGGTCTTCGGTCTGATGCAAGCCCGCAGGACCAAGTCCAAAAAGCCGAAATCAAAAGGGACAATACCTGGCTCCGTCCAACGTGTGACAGCCACGTGTATCCGACCAAAACAAAAAACAAAAAAAAACCTGGATTTAGTAAAAATTGTCGAGCAAAAGCCAACGACGACACGACAACCGACACATACGCGCAAACATGAAAAAAGGACAAGAGATGAGGTTTTGTCTATCTGAGCCAGTCCACGAAGAAAAATCCCAAGGGTAAAATAGTAAACGTTGAGGAAATATGAAGAAATCTATTTAAAAGGAACGATGGAATTGGAAAAGTGGGGTTACGGAGAAAAGAAACGGCTCTTACTCATCGTTTTTTTTCTTTTTTTACTCTTCCATTGGGCATTAGTATTTACAACTGCCACCCATTAACAGAGAGGCACCTGCTCTTTATTTATTTATTATTTCTCTTCTTCTTCTTTTTATTATTATTCTATTCTATTTTTTGATTTAAACGAACTATTCAAGCTCAATATTTCCGTTAATTGTTTTTTAAGACGAGTCTCTCTCTTCTGGCCTTTTTCCTTTTTAAAGAGATTGTTTTTCCGGAAGCTGATCTATCTGGGTTTTTCAGCACTGAGCTAAAAGATTTCTCTTCGTTTTATTTTGTCAAAAAAGGAATTTTTCCTCCAAAAAATGTGGTGGATGATGAATGAAGGAGGAGGGCATTCTTGTTCTAAAAAAACTGATGACATCTGTGGAAATGTTTGTGGCCAGGTACTTTACTATTTTGATCTCTTTTGCTTTGTTTATTTATTTTTATTTTCATCTTTCACTTTTTGGGTGTTTATCTTTCATGGGAATTTGAGGGAAGTTTCTAGGGTTAAAAATTTTTCTCTTAGGTAAATTTTTTATCTATAAGTTAGCTGCTAGATACTGCCTGTTAATCTCATTGTTTGGGGGTTTAGATTAAATTTTAAACAAATGTCTTTGCTTTTGATTTGGGGATTGAGAGTTTGCCTGTTGATTTCTTATCGATCTGAAATTGTTTAGATGTAACTGTTTTTTGAGTCTTTTTTTTTTAGATTATAAAGAATTTAATACAATTTAACCAAAAAACCTGAAAATTGGACACCAAAGATGTAAAATTTTAGCTTGCTTTTAACACCTGGAGGAAACTGGCTGAAAAGATATTGGGTTGATACTTTTGAAAGGAAGCAACTATTTTTTAAGCAAATGTTCTTTTACTTTGTAGCTTCTATCATACTTTTTCTAAGAATCTAAAAGGGAATTGCCATTCGCATATGAGCTTGCTTTTCTAAATTTTGCCTTCCAGATTATGATGCTTATTGTGGCACGGATGATTACTTACCCTGCTGGATTTATAATATTCTTTGATGTTTTTGGCGTGCCTTGTTTCGATTGTTACTTTGCTTCATATGTCATAATAAATTTGATTAGTGTTAACATAGGCTTTTCTCTATGCTGCAGGAATCAAGCCGGCTGAGCATGTCAAGAATCCGCTGTATACTGCGTGGCATTGATTTGAAAACTTATATTTTTCTATTTGTACTGGTCCCAACATGCATATTCGGTATATATGTTCATGGGCAGAAGATTTCGTACTTTCTGCGGCCACTATGGGAATCGCCACCCAAACCTTTCCATGATATCCCACATTATTATCATGAGAATGTGTCAATGGAGAAGCTCTGCAAACTTCATGGTTGGGGAATTCGTGAATTTCCAAGACGGGTTTATGATGCAGTGTTGTTTAGTAATGAGGTGGATATTCTTACTATGCGGTGGCAAGAGTTGTACCCTTACATAACACAATTTGTTCTTCTTGAGTCTAATTCAACATTTACGGGAATTCCAAAGCCTATGGTTTTTGCTAGCCATCGAGATCAATTCAAATTTGTGGAGCCCCGATTGACTTATGGGACAATTGGAGGAAGGTTTAAGAAGGGAGAAAACCCATTTGTTGAGGAGGCTCTGCAGCGAGTAGCATTAGACCAGCTTCTTAAAATAGCAGGAATTTCTGATGATGACTTGTTGATAATGTCAGATGTTGACGAGATACCAAGCAGACATACTATCAACCTCCTGCGCTGGTGTGATGACATACCTCAAGTTCTTCATCTCCAGCTGAAGAATTATCTTTATTCTTTTGAGTTTCTTGTGGATAATAACAGCTGGAGGGCATCGATCCATAGGTATCAGACAGGAAAAACAAGGTATGCACATTATCGCCAGACAGATGAGATTTTGGCAGATGCAGGGTGGCACTGCAGTTTTTGCTTCCGCCACATCAGCGAGTTCATATTTAAGATGAAAGCTTACAGCCATAATGATAGAGTGAGGTTCTCTCACTATTTGAACCCGAACAGAGTTCAGAGAGTAATTTGCAAGGGTGCTGATCTATTTGACATGCTTCCGGAGGAGCACACATTCAAGGAAATAATCGGGAAAATGGGACCTATTCCTCATTCCTTCTCAGCTGTTCATCTTCCATCATATCTTCTAGAGAACGCAGATAAATATAAGTTTCTTTTACCTGGAAATTGTTTGAGAGAGAGTGGGTGATTCTTCCAATAACTTCAGATGTTTGGTTCTGTAAAGGCTAGTCAGAGGTGCCGCTGGTGTGACCTCCCACAAAGGGTTCAACTAAACAACTAATGACTGCGGTGGGTCACTGAGCAGCCTTCATCTTTTATCCAGCTAAAAGTTTTTACATTTCCTTGGGAAAATGATTGAAGAGTTGGATAAATGCTTGGAAATTCTAGGTTTGTACATAACTTTTCTTGATTTGAGTTTTACTTGGAGGATATTTCATTCAATGAGCGAGGATCTTCCTGTATCGGAAACAGCTTAGTTGTTGCGGGGGTGCATGTGTACTACTTAGATTCTCTAATACACTAGTTTGAGGTTCCTGTGATTCCCTATGTTGGGAAGTTTTGTTTTGATACAATTTATTCATACATGTTTTATTGAATTCCTTGATTTATTTTTAGATTGTTTGTTGATGAAAATGCTTATCTCCTTATGTTTTTATCAGATACGTTTTTTGACAATTCTTAAAGATAAATATATAATAGCAAGGTAAGAGGCTCTTAAAAACCTAGGAAATTCAATTCCCATTTCATCATAAAGTAAAATATGCGATAAGAAAGGAGTGAAATAAAAAAAAACAAAATCAGCAGCATCTATTTTTCTTTTGTTGATCAGGCAATCAGCTGCTCTGTTGGCATAGAAGTGAGGGAGCGTGGTTTGAAGGAAGCTAGTTGGCATCAAGTACCTACAAACATTAGCAAGGGGACCAAGAGGATGATGATCATTGGTGGTCAGCATTTGCGTGCTCTAAATTCAGAAGCTTGCTTGTGGCCAAAAAAAAATCAGAAGCTTGCTGAATAATGGAATAAGTTAAAATAAGATTACAAGAGGATCAAGAACACCTTCCATCAACCATAAGTGAAAATAGTACTTAGCAAAATCAAGTTTAAAGCAGAGTGGATAGAATCCAAGTAGCCAAACAATTGGAACTGGAAAATGAGTCACCTTGAGTAGTTTTCAGGCAATTCTATACGTTAAAAGCTACAGCCCAAAAGGTTGTGGGACTAATTCCTCAGAGTCAACACAAATGTCAAAGCAAGCATGGGATGATATTCCTGTGAGAAAGGAGATATTTTATTGGAAGTTTATTATGTGTGGCAGACAATAACATTTGTTTAATACAAGTATGACAATGGGTTTTTCCAGGTAATTATTCTAATTTGAACCAGAAGAATCGTAAACACCCAATCATCCAACAATCATGTAGGCTGGATTAAGGTTAAAATCCCGATTTGAGGAGTAGCCCCTCAGAGTATAGTCTTCACTCTTCACCATTGCAAAAAGTCTTTACCATGCTGTTTTACAACAATTCTTTGACAGAGTATTATATGTTTGCTGATATACCACTAAGCTTTGATATAGTTTGGCCTGATGAATATTTCAAATCCAAAGAATGGTCCATTAGGTATGTGGTCTGCCTCAACACCTCCGGTTTTCCAGTGTTTGTAGCTCATTTCCATGTCATTCCTCGCTGATATCCAACTCAAATACTAATGGATGCCACGTTCATATTGTTCATATTAATCATAATCCTGCCCCGCATAGCAATTTCTGTAATTTAATACTGCTTCTATAAAATCTTTTCCCTTAATACTGTCTCGGAACTGTGGTAAAAAAGGCTTGAAACTTTGGAAGCTAAAGACATATCTCAAGTCTTCACGGTCACTAAAGCAGCAAAATTATGGCCCAGATGACGAAAGACACTTTGATGTAAGCAGAGTGGAATCACTGACATCACTATCATGTTTCCCTAATCTGAATGACGTGGAAGCCAATGGTCGTGGCACTAAAGTTGGCAGGGATGCTTCATTTATAGCATTACTGGTCGCATCTGGAAAAGATGATGGAAATACCTAACCTTGGACATCTGCTTCCAACTATACTACGCAACACTGTCTACCAATCTGCGAGGCCAGATGCACTTTGCAGATGGTTGGAAATGAATAAATTAGTGAAAATATTATGTTCTTCATAAATATGAATTTTGTGTGTGTGTGTGTGTGTGTGTGTGGGTGTGTGGATAAACCCAATTATTTTATTGAATAGCCATTAATCCAAGTATATGATCGACTTCGAAACTCAAAACTACGTTACTAAAATGAGGAGTATGCTTGCGCTCGCCAATTTCGCTTCTCCTGTGACAGTGAGGGTTAATCTGTCTGTGCTTAGTAAGGTTCAAAACCACAAATTGATGTGTTCAAAACAGTATGAGAGTATCAGGCCTTGTTTCTTACCGCATGTATGAAATCTCCTTGTTACTTTCAGGTCTGAAGAATCTGCAATTTGCAATCCATTTTAACTTTGTTGGTGAGAACAGAACGTTGATAACAAGTGAAACATATTCTGGCTTTGTTTTTGTGGCCCTTTATTAATGAATAACCTTTTCAAATAATTTTTCAGTCAATATAGGAATCGATCCATAACTTTTTATATCTATTTCATTGCCCATTCCTCTGCTGAATTTGGTCAGCAGAGTATAGAATCCAACATTGGTGAAACATGGCCGGGTATGAGATGCTATCTTATCCGTCCAAAAAATTGGCTATATATAGCATAGATTCAGAAAGCAATATACAAGCTCAACATCGCACTGATGTATTCTCAATATCAAGAAACCATGCTAGACAATTTACAACAAGGCTATGGATTTGGATTTGGCCAGCATAGCTATTCCATGCACCAAGAAAGCTGGCAAAATGGATATCAGGGTCATCTCTCGGGGTTGCCAACCATGCCTAATTGCTTCATAGAATCCCCTCAACTCTCCACACACCAAATGATATTCCATGGGACCCATGCTATGCATCAGGATGTCTGGCATGCCCAAAATATGCACCAAAATGACTGGCTCACCCAAAATTTGCGCCAACATTGCATTGTCAGTCCGGAGAAATATGGACGTTTCATTGGTGGATATGTTAGCAATGTTGGTCCTGTGGCCTCAACTGGTGGTAAATACCCCATCCTGATTGCAAGCTCTGAATATGAAAGTTTTAACAGCGCACAGCAAGCTCCAGCAACCATGAGGTTTGAAGCAATGAGATATGAGCACAGGAATTGGGGTGGGGATGGTCACTACCGCCAAAGCTACAGTGATGGATTCAACCTGCAGGGCAATGGCTGCCAGAGTATTGAGTGGATGTCCAAGGGGCTGTAAAGGCTAAGAAGTGATATCCTGAGAGATCATTGGCATTTTACAATCTCCATAGAATTGTGCAAGTGACCTGTCCTGCTTTATGTGCAGGATAGTAGTTTGATGCTTATTTACTTAAACCTTTACTTAATACAAGTTAAAAATAATAAGTTTTTAGTATTTCACAGATGTAAATTCTCTAAAAAAACTTCAGTGGAAAGATGAATCAATGGAAATAAAGGGAAAAGGCCGAAGGGGAATGGAATCGACGTTCAAATTTATAGGTAAGTCTAAATGTCACGGGCCGAGAATTAACTTCTGGATTTATACGTCCCCACTCCAACAAAGGTCCATTATTTTCGGGGGCAAATCATTAGTATATTCGAGCTAGCTCTAATATCATTTGTTATGGGTTGAGAATCAATCTCCAGACTCGTGTGACTTTAAAATTCGGGCATGGACTCATTTGATGTTCCAGATCAACTTAACTGTTACGGTTCACATCATTGTGAAGTATTGTTCGCTTTGATTCTCTTTTGGACTCACGATTTTGTCGCACAAAAAACATCTCAAAAAAAAAAGTGATATAAATCTTTATATTTCATGATCAATTTTAATACGCAACTGATGTAAGATTTATGATTCCTCTCCGTGACAAAAGTACTTCAAAATTGAAACCCTGCTAGGGAATAGAGTCAGGGACTAATCAAAGCAATTAAGCTATAGCTGAAGGGACTGTCAACATTCCACTAATTACTGCAATTAGGATAAATAAAATATCCACAACTATGAAAAATCAGTATTGTTTTAGAAAAAAAAAGGCCTGAAGAGCATATCAAACGATCACTTTCCTGAGGGCTTTTTTTTTTTTTTTTAGTTGGCACAAATTAAACATCTAGACGTGAAAAGAGACTTTATTCATCCCTCACCAATGATATTTAGAAAGAAAATAGAGACTACTTGAACACCTTTTCTTTTTAAAACCAGCTTTCCTTCTTAATTTGAACACCTTTTCTATATTTTGAAAATGTTCAGAAAACTGATGAACGTATTATCATACCATCAAGGGAGCTAGGAATCATTCTGTGGAAATTTTCATTGGTTGTGTACCATTTACAATTAAGTTATTACTCAGATTTCTTGTAGCATGAAATTCAGTCGTTTAAATCAAAATCTAACAACTAAAACAAGTAGGAAAACGAATCAGAACTCGTCAGAATTTGATCACCTAAGGTCGGTGTAGTGATATGATAGATGCTTGATAAGAATAGTTTTTTATGGTTAAAGGCTTATTCTTCCCCAAGTTGTGCCTGTCATTTCGTCGGTTCTGGCCATGTCAGTGATTATCCTTGGTACTGATTTTGAATATTCTTATAGGGAATAAAAAAGCCGAAAGTGCTTTAGAAATTCGTTACGTATTTGCTGTTTTGTAAATTTGGTTACTTGTCCTGTTTCTTCATCACTTTCTTCATTGCAATTTCTTCAGTCCACAAAGTTGGCTGATATTATTAGATATGATTGTGACAAAAGTAAGGGAATTAGATTCGATGTCATACAGGGAATTAGATTCGATCTCATCTTAGGAACAACAACATTGGTCTATAAAATGCAACTGATAACATGAGTGACACAAATTAGATACCTTGATATCAATTTTCTGAGCCTGTCCCTGACCGAAAACGTGAAAAAGAGTGACTATAGGATGTCATACACTAGCCCTAAGCACCATGCCAAGCACCCTGGGGTCAGCTGGGGGGAGACCTCGTATGACTACCAGGTTTATGGTAAGACAATGGAGCCATTGCCATATCAATCTTACCGTACATGGGAGTACCCACAAGTTGATTTTACAATCAACAAGTTTGAGGAGCAGCGTATTCTTCATGCTTCAAGGGCTCAAATGATAGAATGTGAGTGTTATCCTCAACTTGTCAAGACTACCGAAAAGAATCAGATTAAAGAAGATGTAAACAAAGAAGCTGAGGACTTTATTAAGCTAGAGCACAAGAAGTTTGCACGATTGAATACGTCCATGTCTATGAAGAGTGGCTGATAAGAAGAGTCCTAACACTTTTCAATCAATAAGCTCTACAAATTATAGGGCATTAATAGCTATGATGAGAACTCCTCTTGCTGATTTTAATCCCATGTGTGTTAGTTAATCATACGTCAAATATATCAAACACTTGCTTTAGAAGCGCATTTGTTTCATGTCGCTCTCTTTTACATATTAAATAATCTTGTATCTAATCATCTTGCATTTAAATAATCTTCTATCAAATAAACTATTGAATCAGAGTTTGAGGCTTTGAGCACCAAGGCAAAGCAATTGCTTCATCTAGATCCAACCTATATTGCCTGGATCCCTACTGAAAAGAACTTGTCATCCCCTCACCAAAAAGAAAAGGAACAAAAAAAGAAAGGTCCCCTAATTTTCCTCTGCTCCAAACTACTTACAATTGCTTTGGCAGTCCCTTTTTTCTTTCTTTTCCCAAACCTATCAGATAAACTTTGTGAAGTCAAATTATGTTTTTACAATATATATATATATATATATATATATAAATATAGCATGACTCTTTAACGTGCAATTTGCCATATTACTACCAAGTACCAAACCTAATTTTCTTGACAGTTTATAGCTGCCAGTATTTACATGGAATTCAAGGTATACCAGATTATTTAACTTATTTACTGCACCAGAACTATTTGCCGCGCACTAGAGGGAAGACATGACTATTCATATTAATTAATATGAACGTTAGGAACTTCAATTATTTTTTTTAATATCTTTACGTAATGATCTTCAAGGTTGTCCAAATTGAACTCAAGATTTTATGGTTAAGCTTAGAACACGAAAGAGTTGGATTTTTAATCAATTATAATGTCTCCTAAATTCCTAAACCACTCCTCAAATGCTAAGGAGTAGATGAAGAACCTTCAGGATTTTTTTCAATCCAGAAACTAACCAATTGTCCTCATCCAATCCACTTGAGCAGCATAATTTTGGGTCCGTTCTGTGATAAACCAACATAGATGATTTTCCTGTAGTTACTCGATTACCAAAAAGAATTCCTAATTCTGTAAGCAAAAATGAGACGACTTTGGACCTTTTATCTGTTTCCTGCTGTGGATACTTCTTCAGTGTTCCAGTCCTCATCTTTGGGAAAGGTTCCAAAACATTTTCCAGGCTACTCTAACCGGTTTCCAGTTTTTGGAAAGAAACAGTATAGCAGATATCAGCAGTTTTCAGTATTTTCTTTTTCTCCCTTTTAGTATTTTGTTTGCTTTGGTATACTTTACAGTATAGCAGATATAATGCCTGACCTGAGTTTCTTCGAAAATAGAAACATTAACGATTTCCTTTGTAGAAATACGGGCCCATGAACAAGTAGAAAAGCCCCAAAACGGCAGCTTTTTTATATATTTTTCTTTATAAGAAATGCTCATCTGATATTATATACTACTACAGTACTACTGCAACATTCATATGCTTATCTGAAATTTATAGTCACTACAATCAGACGGAGGCACTCAAATATTTTTGGCCCACGTCTTCTAAACTTGGAAACAGAAGTTACAAACTGCAATACGCAAAGGCACATAGGATAGGAGTCAAAAAATTCTTCAATCCCTTCATTCTTTTATTGTTCTTGTACTTTTTGTGGTACACGTACACACTGTAACACACACAGAAGAAAGCAAAAGAAAAAGATTGTTACACTACACAACCATCCCGTCCAGTGTTTTTGCTAAAAAAAATGAACCAAGAAAGGAGAAAAAGGAAATTACAAAAAAAAAAGTAAATGGGATATAATTGAGAAAAAGAAAAACAACTATTCCTCTGATCTGAACTAAATGACTAAATTAAGCCTCTCTCATTCTAGTGAATAGATCGCAGAGAGGGCATGTACTATGCTTGCTAGAAAACCATTTCTCTAAGCAACCTTTGTGGAAGAAATGCTTGCAAGACAACTCACTCACCTCCTCATGTGCTTCAAACCCACATAAACACACACAACAATCCAGAGTCATGTTGGCCCATCCACTCCCACTCCCACTCCCACCCCCACTGCCACTGCTACTGCTAGTGATGTAACAAGCACCCGCTGCAGCAGCTGAACCCTCACATGATAATGTGTACCTGTTGTGGCACAAAGACTTGAATTCAGTTATTGATATCCTTCTCTCCCTTGCATTACTCATCTCTTCCGGGTACCCATCTGACTCCTCAATATCAAAATTTGAAGACGAAATACTACACCCTGCTGCATCTACCACTTGTAGTAAAGATCTCACCATGTTTTTCAACAAAGCCACTGACAGAACTCTGTTCATTACTAGCACAGGAAATACCCCTTCAGCTGCAGTAGGGAAGTTCAACAGTCCCATCTTATTTTTCCCGATAAACTCACTAAATTAAGATTCTAAAATCACGTTCTTATCTTCTAAAATTCAGAAAAGAATTTGAATCATGGATATGATAACATGAAAGAGTTAATTTCCATCAGATGGGAAGCAGCAACAACAATCTGCTTTCACATAATGCTTGTCTTTCACCAACGTAGAAACCGAGTTGGGCTGATAAATATACATGGGCTCATGCTAACCACCCCGGTTCAAGAACTTTAATCAGGGATGGGCTCAGTATGTAGACGTGGCGACACGTGTAGAGCTTGTGAAAGATTAGTGATACATATTAGAGTGTGGGTGTTACGTCTCGATGATTATTTAGAAATGGTTGAAAGGAAAAGACGAAAACACTGGTTGCGCTGGCATTTTCACATGAATGTGAATGGTAATTTGTGATAAGCCACGTGTCTTGTAAAGTTTGTTTGGGCCAATCAGGTAGGTGGTTGTGACGAAGGTGGGCGACCATTCAGTTTGGGCCTTGGGGGCAGGAATTTTATTGATTCCCGGATGCCGCGTATTGATCATTATTGTCTAGTTTATTTCTTTTTTTTTTTGGGAGGGATTTTATTTTATATTTTTAATTTTTCTAATTCTTTAATTACCGTTAATCACTCAATCTCTATCCACTAAATTCACTTAAAAAAAATTACAGGCCTAAATTTTTTTTTGAAACCCCGATTTTCAAAATGCATGTCATTACGTGTGGACTAATACTCGATTAATTTTTTTTTTTTTTGTCATTAACAAATTTAGAGGTATGCAGATAAATCCAAAGGATGAGGATTACGATTTATTATGAGGCTTCTTAGGATATTTGTGTTTAAAGATATTTTAACATTGACAAATGTTTTTTTAAAGAGTAAATTTAAGTCTATAAAATTAGTCAAGGTTTAAGAGTACATTACGAATTAAAAAAATTATAATACCTAGCAAGTCCATTCAACTGATGTTATTAGTTGATTTCATATTATCCAAAATCTTAAAATATCTTTAAAATCTTATCAAACAATATAATATTGAAAATTATTTTTAAATTACTACAATAATTTAAGAGTTATTTAAAAATATTTTATCATCTTAAAAGTATTTAATGATATTACTGTTACTATCTAAAGAGGTTTTCCATCATCACGTTTATTAAGATTTTCAAAAAAAATTTATTATTATATTTTAAAATTAAAATCTTTTTAAAAATTCAAGAAATTTTTCAATAATTTGATAAAATTAAATTAATTTCAAAATTAATTTTTAAATTTATAAAATATTTTAATAGTTTAATAAGATTTTATTTTTCATAAAAAATCTTCTAATAATTTAATAGGATCTATAAATTTAATCTTAAAAATTTAAAACCCATAAAATCTATAATTATTTTTTAGAATTAATTTAATCTAAAAAATTGTTATTTTTTAGCCATAAACTTTCATATTCTCCTCATAATTCCCTCCTTGGGAAGAAATTTTACTTTAAAATTAATTCAATCACATGTTAGAATTATACAAAGTATGCTAACTTAACAAACTTACTCTACTAAATTAGATTTTTGTATATACTCTTTCCTATGCACTTGTTTCTTTTTATAGTTTTATTGTCAAACATTTAAATTTGCGGGACATAAACCGAATAAATGAATAAATGGAAACCATATAAATAAAAAATGAAAAATGAAAAAAGAAAACACCAAATGTTTGGGCTGGGAGGAAATCTAATATAATAAATCTGGTCCATGGTGAAATTATTGGTTTGTTGGAACCGGCTTTTTCACTCCTCAAGTCTATTGGCCCAAGTCAATTAGTCTGTCTGAAATTAAAAATAATAATAAAGATGAGATTTATTATTATAACAATAAAATTAATTATTATAGTATTAAAATTAAAATAAATAATGAAATATGTATTTGGATTCAAACGCAATAGTAATGATGATATAAATTATAATAAAAAAATAAAATGATTACTAAAAATATTAGATTATAACTTATATATAATGAAATTTATAATACATATTTGACATTTGTGAAATTAATAAATTATTCAAATTATTTTATATCAAGTAATATCTTTATTAATAAATTAAAAATACTAAAATTATTTTTATATCAAATAATATTTTATTATTAAATATTTAAAAATTATTTATATATATTATTTCCGTATAAAATAGGAAAATAATTAAATAATAAAAAAGCAAAGCTAAAAGCTCTACAAGTGTAAAGGAATATTTTGTTCCTTCACTTTTGTTTCAGCTGTAAAAAAGATAAAAGAAAAACAAGTAGGGGTATTAGAAGGAAGGAGGCTGCGGTAGGGATGAGAATTTTCTAATAAAAGGAACAGTGGGCAGTGGAAAAAAAAGGCGGTATGGTGCGTTTAAAACCAACTCTAATTGCACTGATGTTGTTTGCCGAATGAATGCATGGTACGTTTGGCACAATTTTAAAGAATAAGTATCTCCATCGGGGTTACTTTTGATTCCAAATGGGATTTAAGGCTTGTTTTGGATGCAACCGCACCTCCAGTTAGGTGCAGTTAACAACCAGAAGGCCATTTTTATTTTCTAATACATTGTCAGTGAGGTGAGATTGAACCAAACTTATCGTGCCATACCTCCAATTGACCTTTTGGAAAATTTTTCTTCCAACCGCACCCTTATCTTCTAGTTTTACCCATATTTTTTTTATTGTTTTTCTTTTTTTACCCTTATATATTGGAGGGTCTTTCTGCCACTTGCTATTCTCTTTTTTTTTTTATTATTATTAAAAAAGTTTTAAATAATTTTGCTAATTCAATGTAATAATTAAATTTTGTTATAATAATTAAATATCTTCATAATTAAATAATTACATAAGTAAAAAATAAATAAACATTATTATTTTTTAATTTAATATAAATAAATAAATTTAATTTAAATTATTATATTCAAACTTTAAATAATTTATTATATTCAAATTTTAATTTAACGGTTTTAATAATCTTAACAATCTTTTTTTCTTATTACACTTCACTTTGTTATCATTGTTTCTTTTGCATTTTAATAAGTATTTTATTTTTATTTTTATTTTTATTTTTATAATAATTAATTTTATTTTTATCATTATTTTTAATTTTATCGAAATTAATTTCACGGATGGATCGTAAGTCACCTCCTTTCTTTCTTCTTTTTCGCTTTCAACCCAGCAAAACTAGCAACTCCCCCTTAAACCTGGCAATGTCGCATTCCAATCCTCTGGCCAACGCCGGTGTCAGGTTTGCAAGCAACAAAATTTCCCTTTTATCCTTTCGAAATCCTTTATCTGTTCTCTTTTAAGTCTTCTTCATTTCACTACTGTGCAACCCTATCTTTCCACTCTTCCCTCTTCTTCAATCGGTGGACAATTATCAATTTCAACAGTGTTACTGCTGCTGTTGCTGCCGTAAAGCCCCCTCCAACGATACTAGTTAGAACACTTGGAAGCACTTCCTTTCTTCCTTCTCGATCAAGCCCTTCCGATATCTGAAATAAAAAACCCAAAAAGAAATATCTTTTGTGATTTTTGCACCTAAATCCCCTACTTTGTTGTGTGCTGTGGTGGGTTTATATAGGGATTGAAAACCATTGATAATCAGATTTAAGATTAGAAAATTTTAAAGTTTATATTTGAAATTAGATTTTATCCTGTCAATCCTATTTCAAATTTTGAAGAGTCTGTTCCAAATCTCAACCTCTTCGTTCTTATTTTCAAAACCTTAGATTTTGGCATTTTATCCTAACTTCCTCATTTTTTATTTTTGTTACTTTTTTTTAAATAATAATAATAAATAAAAGAAACTAAAAAATATATAAAAGAGATGAAAAAAAAATAAAAGGAAATAAAATCAAGAACAGCTTAATCCTAAATCTAATCCAAATCGAATAGCCATAGTCATATATCACCTTGGGTTTAAATGGGCCAATTTATACTCAAATCGAAAGCCCACCATTTATTAATGGCCCAACAATAAATTTTGAAAATTAAAATATCAATGTTTACATAAATAATATTTTAATTATATAAATTTAATATTTTTATTAAATTTATATTTTAAATAATATATTAAAATGTATTCATATATACATATAAAATTAAATAAATAATAAAAATATATTCTAATATTTGTCTAGGGATAAATTAAGACAAAATATCTTAAAACTTGTTTTGATCTAACCTTGATTTTCTTTAAAAAAAAAAAAAATTGACTTGCTTTTTCTTTTGATGTCTAATTTAAAAAATGCTCATATCAATTATACTAATCGAATTATTTCTAATTTAAAAGATATATGACGTATTTTGTCACATAATTATTCAAAATCATAAAAAATGCACAGGTATCATCCAGTAGCACACGTGAGATGAATTTCATATTCACATGGGTACTATTTGTTATTAATTTTAAAAAATATAAAAAAAAATTTAAATAAACTTTTATTTTTGAAAAATAAAAAAGGAATTTTTTTTAAAAGAAAAAACTTTTAAAAAATAAAAAGTATAAATTTTATAAAAATACTTTTTTCAAATAGAAAACAATTTTAAATATATTTTTATTTTGAAAAATTTTAAGAACTTTAAGAATTTTTTCCTTCATTTATCAACATTTTAAATTTCAATATTTAAAAATTTAAAAACAAAATTCTAAAATAATATTTTTAAAATTAAAATGATTTCTTTTAAAAACAAAATTACAATAATTATTTTAAAATTCCTTTTTTTTTTTCTTGCTTTCATTTTTCTCTCCTTTCCTCCTTTTTCTCTTTCGATCCCTCCAATTGTGGCTGAATCCAACTATCACCGATTGAATCTGGCTGTAAGTGATCGATCCTGCATTGGTATGCTATTAATAGCCAGAAAACAGGCCGAATCGACCCGAATCAGCTTGTAATCACCTCGCCTTTAGTTTTCAAGAAAGCGTCCATGGATTAAGTATAATATACCTACCCTGCATCTAGTAGACTTCCTTCACTTTGTGCTCTTGAAATTAGTTAACCAATTGTTTTCGATATATTCATAGTTAGGTATTTAACCAATTGTTTTCAATATATTCATAATTAGGGACCATTATGTGTATAATCATTCATTCTCTCATCTACAGCATTTTTTTAGAATCTGTGTTCCACTTCCATTCATGTTTTGGTGCTCCATTGGCGTAAAGCAACGAAATTATGAACAAATTTGACTTTTGCTGGATAACTAATGGACCTGAAAATAAAAACCTACTTTTCGCCTCCACCGCAATAAAAATCTCCCCCGCATCAAACTTTTTTTTTTTTAATTTCTCCAGCGGCCAGCAGAAACTTGTGGGTAAATTCATTTTTTGGATCAGCGGGGCAGGGGGCCAGGAATTCAGTGGGTAATTCAATCATCAGTGGAAGTAAGACTAGAATTTGGAACTTGTTTCAAAAGTTTGTGCGACAAAACAAAGCAATGGACCCTTTTAAAGATCACTCATCAGCCATGTGATAGTGAGGTGAGCCCCATTCATATCCACGCATCCCATCTTCATTTACAGTATACGGCGTGTATATCGACGACTTGTCCATTTGTTTTTTTAGCACCACTGCCAATGGCCATGTTAAAGAATGAGAGAAATCAACGTTTTACAAGAATTTTTCAATTTTGTGATGGTGATATACTTTTTTATGCATCTGTCTATGAGCCGGGCAAATCTGTTGTGCCAACGGCTTGGCCTGATTAGGGCTAAGCTTTTGATAAGAATTTTCAAAATCGAATCGTTTTATCCAACCAAAAATATTATTTGATTAATAATTTTTTGATTATAAAACATATTTTAAGTTATTAATATAAAATAATTTTTAATATTTTAAATAATAACAAATCTGAATAAACTTTTATAAACAAGTCAAATTAAGACTTGAACAAAGTTTTAAAAGTATCATAAACCTTTATCCAAATATATCGCAATTTATGAACATTTAACATCATTAATTTTTTTATAGCAAAAACAAAAAGATTATGCTTAATATTAAGCCAAGTTCCTAACACTCTAAATAATTTAATCTTCAATAAAAATTGTCTTTTCTTAACTATTTAAAAACATTGTTTTTCTCCATCACTTTCCACACAAAAATTACCATCCTTGATAGGAAGGACAGAGACAAAGACGAGCCTTGCAAATGCGGGCCAAGCAGGAGAAGTTTCGTATGAGAAATGGAATTAAGTCTTTATTGTCATTTGAGGACACAAAAGTTGTGATTATTAGTAAACATTGATTAAAAATGTAATGCTGGATTCTACAAATTTTATGTGGATAAGAAAAAAATATATATTATATCTAAGTAGTGCAGTAATACTAATAATGAATGTATACGGTCAGCTTTCCTTTTTAAGTGATGCTATTCTCCTAATGAGATGTTGAATTTATCTCCTCGAAATATGCTTTCTCCGCCCTTGACAACCGCGCTTGGAATATAGTCCATTCCTTTTTACATCTCTCCCTTACCTGGCACCACACCATTGTTAATAAAAATTAACTTAAATGACAATTAACAAAGCTATTTCGGAAAAAAGAATTATTAATGTTTTTCTTTGAGTTAATATGCAATTTCATCTTTTAACTATATTTATTGCAATGATACCGTAATCATAAAAAATTCACGATTAAATACTAAAATTTTATTTTCATCAAGCATTTTATTTTTTTACTGATACTGTTAATCAAAATATTAATGTGACAAATATTAACCAATATAAATGTTTTATGTATATAAAATTTAAGCATTTAATCGTGAATTTTTTTATAAATATCAAATCATTAAAAGTAATATAATTCAAGTTAAATGGCACAATTAACGTTTTTTCTTAATAGCACTCCACCAAAGAAAAGAGAAAGGGGGAAAAGAAAGAAAGAAAGTTTGCATACCCCCTGCCATGGTGCCTTCCCATTTTGTGACTCTCCCTATCAAAAGCAAATTATGAAAAATAATAATAAGAAAAAAAAAAAAAAACAAGAGAAAATAGAAGATAGAGGAAAGTTCTCATTACCTGGTTCCCAAGTGAGGGAACAGATTGATGAACAATCCACTGAGAATCTACGACGCCTATCTTCTCATGGGCGGGCTGTTTTCAAGAAAAATATCCATGCTTAGTAAACAGTTTTATTGTAATCCAATCACTGAACAAAGAATCCGTTTGGAAAGGGTTCGGGGAAGGGAACATACAAATACAGAGAGAATAACAGACAGAAAAAGACAAACGGAAGAGAGAAACAGGATGCTGACCTCTACACATTTTCTGAGGGCAAAATCAAGACCCCAGCCATGGACTAAGTCATTCTGCAAATTGTCCATGAAAAACAATAAATGAGCATGCCGAGAAAACAATTCGAAACGCCGCAGCAATGTTAAAATGAACAAAAAGATAAATACACCCCTCATACCTGAATCATATGCCATACACACCGCCATGCATCTCGTGAGAAAACAGGAGCCATTATCTCAACAAACCTACATTTACGTAAGAAAAAAGAATACTAATATTTACCAAACCCTTGGAGAATTAAGGAATTGTAACAAACAATAATGCTCAAAGCTATACATACGCTGCACAAGGAGGAACATGTGGATCATTACACCAGCCCGGTTTCTCCTGTGTTTCTCTGAACCAAAATTGGAAAAATGAGAAAAGGCTATTTATCATTTAATGAATTAATCTGAATTCAACGATTCCTGGTATAATTGCCCCACTGTTCTTACTTGTGAACTTCACGATCACCTCTTCTCTTAGTCATTTGCCAGGTTAACCCTCTGTTTGGTTCCAGACCAGGCTGTGAAATCTCCAGTCCATACTTCCTCACCAGTTTAATGTATCTGAAAGTGAAATAAATAAAACATTTTTTTTGTGTAATTTTCTTTTTAATGCAAATGGGTTAAACTTGAACAAAGTATTTATCAAGAAGTCCTGCAATGTCCAACACTAACTCTTCTGCATTGAAATGCTCAACCCCCAAGTCCTCATCCCAGATAAATATGTAGTCATAGGGTGCCACGATGTCCGGGTGCAAAAACCGCTTGGCATACCACCTAGGTAAATAAAACTTAATGAGTTAAATCTTTAAAACTTTTAAGCAACATTAAAAATAGCCAGTCAGTGCATTCAATCCGGCTTTAAAAGCAGGATTGAATTTGTAAATCTATATTCTTAATACAAATATTTACCATTTAGTCTGCCTCTGGACACTCACATGTATTGCCTGCTTTGACCACTCAAACTCATCCCATTCAGTTGTTCGACCATCATAATGAAAGAGAAGGATAGTAAAATTCCCTGAAAACTGTTGGATGCACGTTTTTAGTCACACAACTTGCAATGTGAAACACACAAACACATGGGCATCAGAAAACTCCATCCTGATCTCAGCATCCTGTCTACCTTCAATAAATGCATCCGTGAAGATGCCCACAAGGATGCACATTCACAAGCACACACACACATACACACACATATATATATAGAGAGAGAGAGAATGATACCTTTTTAACTGCAATATCAATATTGTTTCGTTGATCATAACCAACCGTAAAGGCGACAAGATACTTTGGTGTGCTGGCCAAGTCCTGCATATTCCAATATTGTCAAAACACAACCAGGGTAAAAGAAAAACTCGAAACATGTTTTAATCTTATCTGATATAGTTCTTTGTTAAATCTATGGACTGGTAAGAGTAATAATGGTTTTTATAACATGAATGGAAATTAGTATTGCAAACAACCTCTCACATATTAACATCTTCAGTTCTGAGATCCTGCAATATATTAGGCAACTTGAAATTATTTCACCCTATAGCAAAAGATCCTTGCTTCCTTGAGAGTGATTCAAATCCCTTTTCCCTTCTTTCGAGGCTAGATGAAAGTGAGTAAGTTCATATATCCAAGTTAACTCGCCCAAGATACCAAGATATGTTACTACTATTCCCCCCTCACCCCCCTCCTTTTATCCCTAAGCACTGATATCAATGTGTCAGAAATTTAACACTTCCACATATAGTAAGTTGTTTCAGTTATAATTTAGCATATGCCGAGGAACAAGAAGAACAAGAACCTTTGTAGAAAGAGAAACAATTCCAAAAGCGATATCCCATTTATAAGATTTATTCAATTGAAACAAAAATAATTTATCTTCTCATACCAGAGCTAAACATATTCATGTGTGTATTAGAAAGTTGAAAGAAGTTCAGGGTTCAAAATATGTTGTACGCATAAAGGGTCCAAGAAAACACACCTCACTAGGTTTGCCCCACAATCTACGCAAGTATAAGTCTGACTCAGCTCTAACAATTCCCGGTGGTAGTCTTTCTGCACCTCGAGGATTCGATGGGACCCAAATCTGCATCAGTCATAAAGGAAGCACAAAAACATGGTATATTAGAGTAACACCATATCATTCAGGTCCTAAAAAATCATCGAACACAAAAATCACATAATTTAGAACATGATGATGGTAAAAGATGGATTCAAATAATGCATTTGGATATGCAGCAATAAAATAAAGCAATGTCTACCATACTACAACATAATAGACACACAACTCAAACATAGGATAGATGCATGCACATATAGATGATACATGAACATGTGCATTCACGTATTGAAACATGATAGGCTAAGAATGAGTAATAGACGACATTTATACATATATATATATATATATATATATCCAGGTGTTTTATTCAGTTTCCCTGATGTATAATCGTATTCTACAGGTTAACCAAGGGAACCATATACGAATTACCATGACAACTATAGGGTTTAAATATTATTCTACAAGAAACAGATTGCAGAAAGAAATAGAAAATGCCTCTCCATTCAGGAGCTTTGAATGGCATGTGGACCACACTATTTCCTTGTTTTCTCAAGGAAAACCTCCCAATTCCTCTTCAACAAATACCTAAAGCCTATAATGCAAGAGAAACAGCTAGACATGAATAAATAAAGTGGAAGTGCAGAAAAATAAATGTGTACAAAGAAAACATCCACTGAATTCCCCTCCTCCCCCACCCCCTCCCCCTCCCCCTCCCTCATAAAACAAAATTTTAGAAAACAGGTAAGACAAGAAAAGACTAGCCATGCTATTGAGATTTTACAGAGGAAAAGTCAGACAAAAAGGCTGACACCTGTTGTGAAAAACAATAGGTTATTTCAGGAACATTTTTTCACAAGTTTGATTTACTCACATTAAGCTTCAACTCAAATTAAGCATTAAGAGAACTGGTTCCAATGATGTTTGCAAAACTGCTATCTCAGATATTGTAGAAATGCTGAGGTTAGGTCAGGAGGTATACCTTCTTTAACGTGACATTAGCAGAGCTGCCATTATTACCAATTGGATGCTGCACAGGAGTTGAGCTTGAGGGGCCAGACTTTGTATACTCAGTGAATTTGAAATCGACGGTAGTAAGAATGCTGGATGATAGATTAAGCTGCCATATTTAGACAAAATATAAAAGTTACATTACGTAGATGAAAACAATCATTATTGCATAGATGCATAAAGATGAATATAAAATTAAGGGGAAAAGTTTGTCTACCTTTGTTAATGACAATGTTGGAAAAGATATTCCTATCAAGAAGCCAAAAACTACTCCAACAAATGTTGTTACAATAAGCCTCATGCTTTCATTCGGCTTTCTACTAACCATACTGCAGTCACCAAGATGGAATAAAAGTTAAATAAATCCAAAATCTAATTAACTTTTCTACACACACACACACACACACACAATTCTTTATTATGAAGAGACCATTATAAGTGGTGAACCTGCGTGTAGGGATCCCCATTCTATTTAAATTCATCTTACTGTATATTCACAACAAAACTATGTGCAATTCAGATTGCAAGAGTCTTTGAGCATTATTTAGCAGGCATTCAGTTGCCACTTCTCCATAAAACAAAGAGAGACCCTCAGCATAAGGCCTGATGCGACCAAAATATTGTATTAAAATGATGAAGCAAAGGAATAGTTACAGATAAAATAAATTAACAAAGATGGACACTAATAAGAATTGAGATTCAAACGGCAACTTTGCAGCACTTAAATCTAAGCCGATATCCTAGTTCAATCAAATTTACCCATTCATACAGAATGCAGTCAACAAAACACAAGATAATGAGACCCTTCTATTCTTGCTCTAAGGATTATATTATATGGTAAATACGCAAGAATCTGCAAAAGTAGCTACTAAGTATTCACCTAAGAACCTGTTCCAAGCAACCACGTGCTACCCCTTTGACAAAAGATCAGGGTTGCCAGCACCTAACTCTAAGCTGATATCCTAGTTCAATCAAATTTACCCATTCATACAGAAAGCAGCCAACAAAACACAAGCTAATGAGACCATTCTATTCTTGCTCCAAGGATTTTATTATAAAGTAAATATGCAAGAATCCGCATCAGAAGCTACTAAGTAACAACTAAGTACCCCTTCCACATAACCCTCAACAAGTAACTTCACAAAGCAAGTAACCATGTGCTACCCCCTTGACAAAAGATCAGTGGTGCCACGCAAACACAAAAGGCAGACAAATTGCAATCCTAAATTCAATAACTCTGAAATCAAGTAAGCGTGTGCCCTTTTTCTTTTTTCACTAAGAACATGAAATCCTAAAATCATTGAATTCAAAAAATTAAAAAAAGCTGCAATACCAAGAATTTTTAGTTCAGAGCAACAACCGTGCTTGCTTAGGTTGAAAGATACAGAACAAAACCGCCAAAAACATAAACCTGACCTAAAAGTTAGCTTAAAAGCCGGTCTTATTCCTTTAAACTTTTGTCAACTTCAACCATCTTTTCGATTATTTTAATATCAATAAAACTTCAAAAAGTACAGAAAATTTAATGCCTAGAGAAAAAAGAAATGAAAGAAAGCAAGTTCGAGCAAAAAACTGAAATACTAGACTAATGATTCAAAAAATCAAATCTAATTTAAGCAAGTTTAAGAAACTGAATGCTCATAGCTGTTGCACGTGAGACAAGGAATTTCTCGGGAACCAAACGGAAAACTAAGCGTTAAATAGATTTAAATAAAAGAAAAAAAAAACTATAAACATCTACTTACCTGAACGGAAAGATGATTGTGAGCAACAGAGCAAGATCTGGTGGAAACTGAAAGTGTATTTTAAAAGGGCTATAAAATCTAAATCACGAGAAAATCACCTCCACCTCTTTAACTGAAAATCTGTGCAAATGAGTTTACGCTTTCTCTGACAGAACTAACTTCGTGATCGCCTTCCTAAACGGAAACTGATGGTAAACGTGGAGGAAAAAAGACTTGAAACGATGAATTTCAGTTTCCCGGGAAAAAATTAAAAAAAAAATCTCCCCTTTTTGTACTCTTATTTGCTAGATGAAGGAACACTAAGATCGCGTGCTTTTATGAAAGAAAGAGAAAAAGCAAAACGGAATCAAAGAAAATATTATAGAAGAAAAATATTTAGGCGATATTCGAGATTGTTTTCAGATAGAAATTGGAATTTTGGTTCTTTTTCTTCATATAACAAAAAAAATGGAGTTGATATCTAAATGCAGTTCATATACGAAGTAAAAAGTAACAAGTAAAAAGTAAAAATATATATATTATTTTGATTAAGAAAATTAGGATTAATATTGGTTTTTATTTTTATTTTTATTTTACTTTATCTCATTGGCTGAACCGAAATCGTGTGTGACTGTGTGTGACTGTGTGTGGTGGACGTGGTTTGATATGACATTGAAAGCTTTTTTGCTTAAATTTTGACAACCAGCTACTGCTGCTACACCTAGATTTTCTGCTAACCAAATTTTTAACCGTCCTATTTTTTATGGTTGGTCGAACTCCATATCTAATTTTAAAAATAATTTTAGTTAAATTTGATAATTTATATATTTATATTATATTTATTTTATATTAAATACATAAAAAATGTAAATTTTATTATATCATAATTTATATTAATATAAACATAAAATATATATTTATTTTTATTAAATTTATGCAAATTTTAATTTCAACCGATTTTAATACAATTTAACTAATTTAATGATTGTCTTTAACTGTCTTAAATTCTTGCCATTCATGTTCTTGAATTTATTAATTATGCAGTTATTTTAAAGAATATTTGCCAATTATTACTCTATTTTTTCATCTGGTAAAAGAGGTAAGTAGTAATTTAAAAAGCAGTAGCAACTCTTAAAAATATTCTTTCGTTTCTTTTGCTCTCTCTTTGTACCGATTTATAAAGTTTTTGATTTTCCAGGCTGGGAATGAGAATATGCTGTAAATACCAATCGAGCAAGTTTGGTAATTGTTTAAGAGTAACTGAGCAATACACAAAGGCTAGGTCACGTACACACCTTTTTAAGTGTTGTTTTCTTTGTCCTTTTGGAAAAATAATAAAAAAAAAAGCAAAAAATTAGTAACAAAGGAGTTTTCAGTCTTTTCACTTTCAAAGACTTTGTTTTTCCCTTCTAATTTCTCCTCGTTCGCTCATATCATAATTTTATTTTTATAAAGGAAATTGTAGTTTTAGAATAATGGATAAAGAAATAAGTTTTAAGCATTGAATTTTTTTTTAATTCATATATGGAGATTTAAAATAAAATTTATTGAATATTTTATTTTAAAATGATTGTATGAATAATTAAATTAAATTTTGAAATTAAAATTTTTGAGCTTTAATATTTGACTATTTGTTATTATATACTTTTTTTAATCTAAAAAATATGTTTAAACTTACTATATGATTTTTGCTAAACTTACCATTTTGAAAAAAAAATGTTATTAAATTTTTTAGAATAAATATTTCTATACTTAAAATTTTAATGTTAACTAATTTTAAATTTTGTATACGCTATCTATCCATTTTTCTCCTTCTAATTTATTATGTTACATCAAGAACAATATCAATGATAATATTAAAATTCATCAATGATTTTTATTACTGATTAATTTAATGTGATCGGAATTTTTTTTATTTGTAGAAAAAGATTCTAATTTTCTTTGAACTATAAATATACACACTTATTATTAAGAGTAAAGTGAGATTATAAAAATTTTAATAATATTTGTTATTAAAAATTTTTTGATTTAAAATTCTTTTTAAAATTCAAATTTACTTATCGCATAAATTAAAAAATTTAAAATTTTGATAATCAAATACTTAACATTTGTTTTTGTAATAGATAAGCTCTGTCATAAATTGGATCAAACATTCATTGAGTATGCCGGTGAAATAAAAAATTTGAATAATTTAAAATTTTTAAAAATATTATCATGTAGTGTTTGGCGGAGATACCTGACTTATAATCTTCTATGGGTCAATAAGATAATATGATCATCAAGGTGAAAGGGTCTTTGAATGTTTCTAGTAATTTTACTTTTCCTACGCAAGGGCGGCTGAGAGGGAGGCTCAATTCAGCATCCAACCAAAAAGAGAAGAAGATCATTCCAATTTAGGAATGTCAATTTTACTTTTTTTAATGAAGGATCTAATTTTTTATTCAAATAAAAATAAAAATTATATTATAAATATATGAATGGGATAAATATAATTTAAAAAATTTTTTTATACAAAAATAAAAAAATAATATAATATTCGTTCTGTACCTTTATTTATATTTATATTCTATGTATATATATATTATATTATTTAATAAATAAAATTATTATTAAATAATATAAATTATTATTTTATATTATTTAAAATTAATATATTTTTATTAAAAATATATATTAATATATTTTTATAAAAAATTACTTAAATATATAAAATAAAAAAGTTAAAAAATAATTTTTTATTTTTATTTTTTAAAAATTATAGATATGAAATTATACATACTCATTAAATACTCAAAAAGGATAGAGATAAAAATAAACTTAAAATATTCATTAAATATAAATATAATATAAAAATTCAAAAATAAAGATAAAAAATATTTCATTCTCCTCGTATTTTATCTATTGGCGTAAACATCTTTAAGCGGATCCTTAAATTATGCTCCATTTGAATGGTTAAGGATCCAATTATCAACGATAAAATGACGCAATGATGAGATAAAATTCATTTTGCCATCCGCCGTTCAAATGAAGCATTAAAAAGGCATAGACCAAAAGTCCAACGGCCACGGAATGGTTCCCAAATTTTAATTAGGCCATGGTATATTGGTCGACCAAAATAAAAAGCCTTGCATATGGTTATCAAAATTTCGTCAAAATTTCTTCATTTCATTTCTATTTCTACCAAGACTGCTAATTGGAATGTGACATTGCCGCTTTCAAAAAAAAAAAAAAGAAAAAAAGAATGTGATATTACCGCCGTGAAAGCTGGCTAATTTAGCTAGAGCAAGACCGCGTGGACTTTAACATTGGAAGCTAAATTAATTAATTCATTCAACAAAAATGGACCGTGGGCGTGGGGCGTGGAAAGCCGACTCCCAAAGTCCCATGTGTTTTCTCAAGTGGGCCGCCAAAATTAAGAAAGACAATTGCGGGACCGGTAATTGTGCTACTCTTGTGGCTGAAAAATCTCATTGTGTTCACCACAATGAATTCGCTTGTCCTAAAATTTTTTCCTTAGCCCAGAAGTAGGAGTTGTGTTTAGATTAGCTTCCTTTCGCGTACCTATGAAGTTTTTTTTTTTTTTTTTATTTGAACTATATATTTGCAGGTTTTTCCTTTTTTTTTTTTTATAAAATGCAAATTCATTATTTAATTTACGTAAGTGTTTGAGATTTATTTTTTATTCTTTAAGCAGTATGATTTAATCATTACATTTTTAGTTTTACAATAAATTTATTATCATATTTTTAATTTTGAAAATAAATTTGATAAAAAATAATAATGGTTTGGATATCAACTTATTTTTAAATATTTATAATCAAAATTGTTTTATTGAATATTAAAATATTCAAACCTAATAAAAGCAGCTAAAAAATCTATTATAAATATTTATAATTTATCCAAAATCATTTAATAATATACGTTAATTATCAAAAATTATATATGTTATGGATATCTTATTGAAAACCTGTATTCAAATATGATCTGATTAAAAACCAAGCTAGTAAACTCGTAATATTACAAAATAAATTTAATATTCAAACTAATTGATTAAAATGGGAAAAGAATGAATTCATTGACAGTGCTTCATAAAATGATTGTTGCATTTTGTTAGGTGGAACTGTGATTTTTCTTGCTTGCAAAAAACATTAAAATTGACTTGTTAAAAGCGATATCTTCTTCCTTAAAGTTATTTTAATATTATTGTTAAAATTATAAATTTTAAATTGAAAAAAGAATGTTAAAAAATTTGATGAAAAAAATATTATTTAAAAATTTTAAGTGTTTGATATTTTATTAAATTAAAATATTTAAAAAATAAATATAAAATAATTAAAATTTAAAAATATATATATAAAATAATAAAATTATTTTATTATAAAAATTACGATTAAAAATAAAAATATTATTTTACTATTTTTTTATTTAGGTTTCAAACCAAATTAAAAAAAAAAAAAAAACTTCTAAACGAAAATTTCATTTTCAACCCAAACGAAGCAATGGCCCAATAACCCAGCGTCCAATGAGCTGATTTAAGAATGGTTTGCTTAAAAACCAATTAATTATTGGGTTCGCATAAATATTGGGCGCCAAACTAGGTAGTGCCTAGTAGCTAGTTGTTAGGTTCAGCTGCGGTTGACTCGACGCTTGAGCTTGTGGGTGAAGGAGAAATCTTGGGTGCAAATGCTGCAATTGCGTCTTTCGTGTAATTATGAGACGTGTTTGACGTGTTTTGCTGTCCGTGTCTGTGTGGCCACTAAACACAATCGTGGTGGGTTCGACTCACCATCCCTTTGGCTTTGGCCAGTGCGCAGGTTTTCCTGATGGCGAATTGGCGATGGATGTATTTAATTTTTTAATTAATTCATTTTTTTTTTCATCTTCCTTCCATGTTTCTGTTTCTGCTATTTTGATTTTATAGATTCATTTGTTGTGTTAGAAGTTGATACATGAATTTTTAATTTCATTAAAATATTAACATATTTTTATTTATATTTTTAATTAATTTTTTAAAATATATTATAAAAAGTATATGTTATTTTTTTAATTTTATTTATGAAATTTAAAAATTTTGTTGTTAATGTATTTAATAATTTTTTTATTTGATGATAAAAAAATATATAAACACATAATGTCCGAAGGTCGTTGAGTCCGTAAAAATTAAATATTTTAAATTTGATTTTTACTGCTACTTATCCTCTATATGGAAGATTTATAAAATTAATATAAATTTTTGTTAAAATTTATGATATATTATAATCTTGAAATAAAATAACCTTCCCTGGCCTAATTTTTTAAAAATAAAAATACGTAATCCTGTCATATTCACCGTGTTTATGAATTCGATGGTCAATAAACATTTTTTAATGATTCATATTATGTGGAATAATCTTAGGGGAATGTGGCATGGTCCAGGATCTGGTCAGGAGACATATATATATATATATATATATATATATATATAAATGAGCAGCCTATTTCGACATCTTCCTTAGCTTGGGTTGTTTGAATATTTGTAGCCTGCCTGATCGTGTAAACATATATATAAAGGTGGAAAAATAGGTGGACGGCTCGTGACATGATATGGTCCAGATATAAGTCATGCTAGCATAATCTATTTTACTATAATAATTGTGTCGAGTCAGATTGGAATCTTTTACTCGTACCATGCTGAGTTGAGCATTTTAAAATTTATGGGTTGGCACGGCGGAAGCCCAAAATTAACCGAAGTTGGCACATATTTAGTATGGCACAATTCTTGTTAATAAAGATATACAATCAATTAATTTTTTAAAATGATTTATCCATATTTTAATAGGATGTTTTATTTTATTATAGTAAAATGAAAAAATTGATTCACAAAGGGATTGATTCATTTTTTTAAAAAACTTATAAAAACTAATCAATTGGATGTCGAATATCACTCATAATAAAAAATTATATCATTGAAAGAAAATAAAATGTCATTGGAAGAAAAACTTGTAAAATTTATTATTTTTTAGTTAATTAATCTTTGTAAAATTTATTTATTCATGATAAAAAAATTTTTCCATGGATGTAGGCATTTTAAAAAGAATAATGTAAATTATGTCTCCAATTTTTCATAATATATCGCTAAAATAAATATATATAGATAAAAAAAACTCACAATTTAAAAAAAAAATTAATATAAAAAATAAAAAAAAATTGATAATCCATTACCTAGCACAACATGGCTTATATCATATAAAGTTATGGACCATGCAAGACCAAAGAATTTTTAATAAAATTTGTGCCTGACATGATCTATATTTATTGTGTTGGGTCAGCCCCTATTATAATGCCATGCAAAACACATAATCATGCCATGTCGGCTCATTTGGCCCATTTTGCCATATATACATGGAGGGTGCTTTGATCCAGACAGACTGAACGAAAGTCTAAATTAGGCATATCAAATGTAAGGAAGGGGGCTAGTGCACTAGCGGCTGTCATGGTTGTTTGGTTGTAAGTACGTTCATAATTTAATTTTAATTGAATTAATATATGAAATTAATTTATTTTAATTAATTGATTAATTATTAAATTAATTTTAATTAATTTAAAAAAATAATTTTAAAAAATTGTAACTTTTGATTAATTTAATTTTTGAATCAAATTAATTAAAATTTTAATCAAAATATAACAAAATTCAAATATAAAGCAAAAATTATATAAAATGAATTATTTTATTTTATAAATTATTAAAATTTTAACATGATATTTTGATATTTGAATATTTTATTAGATAATCTTATTTAATTTATTTAAAATATAAGAAATTAAAATTTTAAATATAATATAATTTAAAATATATTTATTATTCAATTATCTTAAAAATTAATCAAATCAATTGAATATAATTTAATTAATTAATTTTTAAAATTAATAAATTTAATTCAATTAATAAAAATAATATGATAAAATTTAATTAATTTAATTTTTTATAATTTAATTTAAAATTAATTGAACCGATCGAACGAATAACCTATACAGTTGAAACATAATGAACATAATGGTCACAGAGGAAGTCCTGCGTTTCTAACATTTTGTTGTCGAAATAACATTTCCAATACAATTGATGAAAGTTTATTTCGTTTTTCTATGGGACTTCTAAGAAGCCTAAAGGCTTAATATATACATTTTCCTTCTCTTCTTCATGATATATATACTGCGCTAGAATACAAATTCGCCTCAAATTTGAGATACGAATGAATGTGATGATGGGAGCAGGGATTTCCAAAATAAGTATACTCATCAGTGTGGAAGGAGTTCAATCAAGAACATAGCATCCCACTTTCTTGTTATGCCTCTTGAGTAAGGTTTTTTGTATCAGATAATGCAGCAAAAGAAGGAAGCCAGAGTTCTACACGAGTTCCACCTGCTCCAAGAGCAGCATCGGTGCTCCGAGGTGATATGACACGGACAACACAGCCATAACTATCAAGTATTTCACGTGCTACAGTCAGTCCAGCAACAAAGTTCCATGTCATGTTGTCTTCTATCATGTTTTCCGAGAAGAGTTCGGCTCCAAATGGTGTCAGAGAATGCATCTGAGTCTGCAAACACAAGCATCAGTAAAAAAATTCGTTTATGGTCAACATGAGCTAAAACTCAAAAGCAAGTATAACAAAGGCAATCGGAACTATGTGACATCATCCTAATTAAGGCGACATAACACAAAGACAAAGAAAGTAAAATAATGGTAGATGATCAATTTACAAACGTTACTAGCATCTAAAAAACTCAGAAAATACCCCCATATGATGCTTAAGATCTTAAAACTTATTTATTTCTGTTTCAATCTTTTAGTTTCCCTAGTATGGACGAAAGCTTCCTATCAATCAATTAATATGAACATCAATTGGAATATATTGTAGGCAACTCACACCCTAATTTGAACATGGAAAAAATGCTACCACAGAGGAAAAAGACAATACCATATAGTGCATATCTGGTCCATTGTCATCAATTACCAGTAAAGCGCCACCAGCAGGTGCCCTAGTAGAAATAATTTCAACCTTACCCCCAACCTGGGTACGTAATAATGCACCCTCTATCAAATTGCTCAGAGCCTGACGCAGAGCAGGTTCTTCTATAGCCACTTGCAAAGATTCTGAAAGTTCACTTAATTCCACGATGCGTTGCTGCTTATGAGCAAGAGGCCTCACAGCATCAACTAAATCAGTAAGTACATCAGAAACATTGCACGGTCTTCCTGACAGAAAAGCAAAACCACAATCAAAAGAATAATAACACTACTAAATGAAGTCAACGGTACAAATATATTGCATGTCTAAAAAGGGATGGGACCGGATAGTGTTCAGTTATCAAATCATGCAGCATAGTATGCAAAATCTAAAAAGGGAGAATTCAAAATGAAGGCACGAGGGATGAAACTGAGGACGGCAAAGAAACACAACCAAGTGGTTTATTCCCAAGGCTAATAATATCAACATAAACAATTTAGCCTACATTCAGCTTCAGTCTACAACCTAGCTTCACAGTACTAATCCAGGCTATATACTTTCCAATAATTAGTATCACAAACATTTTTCTGCGTGAGTTTTGGAACCAAATTCCAATGGTAGAGGAGCATTTCTCCTGCAATTCTTTTTATTAAAATCTTGCAATTATCCAATTACAATAAAAAATTATAGAAGATCTACCACTTATAAGTGTTGACTCAACATAAAATTTTGGTGGTCCCTATATAATTCTAAATTTTGATTGTTTAATTGTGATGCAACTATTTTAAGTAATATGCTCCTGTAAATGAGGTATCTACAACCGCAAAATGATTGATATAATTGAATACTTTTCTAGTTTTCACTTTATGAAGTAATGGAAATGAAGTAGTGTCCAGAAGGAAGTTGCATACCTGATCCCATATTCTCGTCGAGGAGCAAGAGCTAGAGGTGGCATTGGCATCTCTAAATCCTTCTCTTTTGCACTTAGAGATAGTAGTGCACCGGATGCTTCTAACCTATTGGATGACCTATCCCTGGATAAATCATCTGATAATTCAGATCTCAGTGACTCAGAGCGTGAATGACTTGAATTATGCATCTTTTTCAAAGTTTCTTCATTGTAGCGCACTATATTAGCCTAAAAAAAAGTCAAGATAAGAAAGTTAATAGAAGTTGAAATGTTGCATTCTTCATGTAAATTAATATACTAAAGTAACATAATAAAATTATTAGAGAAGTTAATTTCATTAAAGCTTGGGAAATTTCAAATCCATGAGCAGTTTGGTACACAACCAGGAGGAATTCAGGTATTACCAATAGAATTTTTTTCATCGCTAATTACCGATGGAATATTGACAAAATTAAACAAAAAAAAATTTTACCAACAATTTATTGATGGAATTAAATCCATCAGTAATCAATAGGTAAAAGTGTGGCACGAATTGCCACCAATTTTACCGACAAATTTTTTCATTCGTAAATCCGTAGCTAAAAGTCACCGACAAATTTAGTGATGGAAAAATTTGTCAGTAAAAAAAATTTGCAAAAAAAAAAAACTTTTTTTTTGACATTACTGACGAAAATTTTGTTGCTAAATTTTCTCCCAATTTCTAAAACCAAATCCCTAATTCCTTTTCCCTCCCCTCTCCCCGTTGTCGTTGCTACTTTTCCTTGTTGTCCAAGTGCATTAGTTGGCTAGTCTTATCGCTTCTCCCATTCGGTAAGTTTTTTTTAATATTTTTTTATGTTGTATTTTATGTAATATATTTGTTGAGTTTAGGATTTAATTTTTTGTTATAAATTTATTGAAATTTGTTTGGATTTTGCTTACCAATATGCTGAGTTTTTGTTGGTTATTTATTTGTTAAAATTTGTTTAGGTTTTGGTTATATATATGTTGAAATCTATTTATATATTTTGGTTGAATTTTTGTTGAGTATTAATGTTGAGTGTTGTTAATTTTTTGGATTTATTTTTAGTATTGTTGGGAAATTTTTTCTATTTGTTGAGTAATTTATTTTTTATTTGTGAATATTTTGTTGAGATTTGTTGATTTTTGTTATAAATTTATTAACTTTTAGATATGTAAGATTTATATTGATTAATTTGGGTTTAATATATATTAAAATTTATATATATTTTTATGGATGTTTTATATTTAATATTTTTTAAATTTTAATAATAATTATAAAAATTAAAATGATTTATGTTGATTTGAGGTTATAATTTATATATTACTAATAGCTATCTCATTTTTAAATAATTTATTTATTATTAAGATTTATATTTGTTTTGAAGTAATTTATATATTTGATAGTTTAGTAAAATTTATATATTATTAATTATTGAAATATTGTGATTTTATTGTATTGATCAAACTTAATATAAATAAATTAAATTGTTCTATTTTTTTTCATAATCTATTTATGAATGTGTCTTGTGAATGTGGGTTTAGGTGAATATATTTTTTGTAATTAATATAATTTTTAATTCATTTTCATCAATACTAATTTGCTTTATTTTCCGTTCCATCTACTTTGAAAGTAGAACAAGCTTCGTACGTAGAAATGCCTCGATCAAAAAAATTTCTCGACAAAACTAACAGAATTGCACTAAAAAGACCAAGATTAAAAGTAAAATTCTATCATTAAAATCAATAATATTTTGTTATGAATGTGTTGTCTTCTAGTATGTATGATGAATATAATGTTTATTCGATATCCACAATATATCTCAAGCAACTATAATACTTTATTGTTTGTTTTATCTGAAATTAAATATATTTTGCTAATTTCATTTAATCTTATATTACTAAAGTAATATTATATAAACTTGTTTCTTGGTGTTATTGGAATACTTATGGAATATTTTTGTTCTATATGGATTAGATGGTGGAATGTCGTGCATAGAGTATTATCCATCGAGGTGGTTCTAAGGTAGGATCTATAAGAGGTGATTTACGTATCGGGTCATCATCAGAATCGATACAATATGATCCACCATACGGGTCAGCTTCACCCCAAATATAGTTTGATCGACCACATTGGTAACCTCTAGCACCGATGATGGATGATCCATCGATGAAACAGTACGTTAATCCAAGATTAGCCAATGATCCACTGGTTGGAGAAGAAGAAGGGAAGACAACTAAGCAGAGGACTAGAAGGGTAAACAAATAGTTACCGACTCCTTCAAATCCAGAGAAGTGGGTGTGGATTATTCTGCTAAAAGAAAAGTATTAATTGTTTTCTTATTGTTATTTGTTTTTTAATGAATTCGTTTAATTAAACTAATCTTGCTAACAAATGGATGTTAGTAGTTGTTTTAAGCAATAGTCGGTTAACTCAACAATTTCAGGAATAATTCAAACGAATTATATTGGTCCATGGCTGACATGGAGTAAAGTATCTGTGTTAGTTAAGTTCATGATGTTTGATAAATTTAAGGTAGTAAAAGGATATTTACTTTTTTGTACATATTTTTATTTGATTTGAATTGAAAGTTCAAATTATTGTTAATGACTTATTATATTCCCATTTATTATGTTAGGAAAAAATGTCAGTGGATTGAGTCAGATAATGATCTTATTCAATGAGCTTAGAACAATATTTCGAAAAATTGATTGACAGACTTATTGTTCGAGGAGAGAGAACTGAAAATGAAGGAATGTGGTGTTGATAACATTGTAGAGTACAGAGATATGAAGCGAAGGTGAATCACAACTCCAATTTGGGATGCTCTTATTGACATACATAGAGCACTCCCCAATGACAAAACATCTCTGCCAAAGCCAAACAAAATCGTCGGACACAAAAAGAAGAAAGTATTATGAAGCACATTGACAGCTCGATTGCTTTTCCTGTTCACAAAAAAAGAATGGTACTATCTTTTTCACAAGTTATTTTTATCATAAAATATCAATAAATTATATAAATTGTATTGTTACATGTTTCATTGAATGTGTCTAAACAAATGCAATCACTTGAGTTGCAATGAGAACCCACATTTATAGAACTTTTCAATTGCACTCACAGAAGTTCAGAAGGATGTGGTGATTTCACTGACAAGTTTAGAGTTGTCGGTGTATGTGACTTTCAAATTATTGTGAATAATTTGAAATTGTTGTCTTGTTTTATTGAAATAGATAATATCTTGTGTGTTTTGTGCTGCACAAACTTTGTGAAAAGTGAAAATGATTGTGTAGTTTGCTTTCTGCTTCTTGTTGTGTATTGTGATTGTTGCTTAATTATCTTTATAGTATATTACAATGTGATGAGATGATATTTATTAAATGTGAAAACTATTGTGTTTTTTGAAATGTGATGACAGTTATGTATTGTGATTGTTAATCAACTATCTTTACCGTATATTACGTATTTTGCATTGTGATAATGGTTGTGTATTTTGATTATTGATGAACAATAGATGTTAAATAATATATTGCGATAACTATTTATTTGTAAAAGATTTTTACGTTTTATCTAGATAAGATAACATTTGTGGAAGGTGACAATTATTGCATATTTTCGTTTGTGATTCTATTTGTGTATTGTGATTGTTGATAAAGTATACAGCGAAGTAATTGAAAGCAAAGATATTGTAAGAGATCTGTATTGAACTAGATAGTTTGGTGTGATAATGGTTGTGTATTGTGATTATTGATGAACTATATATGTTAATAGTATATTGTGGCAACTATTTATTTGTGAAAGGTTTTATGTATTATTTAGATGAGATAACATTTGTGAAAGGTGAAAATTACTGCATAATTTCGTTTGTGATTTTATTTGTGTATTGTGATTGTTGATGAAAGTATATAGTGAAGTAATTGAAAACAAAGATATTGTAAGAAATCCCGTATTGAACTAGATAGTTTGGTGTATACTAAAATGCAATGAATTTGTAAAATGTGAAAATTATGCTCAAGTTGTGAATTGTTTGAAATTATGAATTGTTTGAAGTTGGGATATTTTAGTGGATTATAAAGTCCTATAGTAACGATTATTGTTTTAAATTTTTTGTAGGAAAACTATGCCATTGCATTATCTTAAAAATACAGTGAAGATTGTTTCAATCATCCAAATTTCGATCCACAAGCATGGATTGAAGCTATTGGAGGGGTTGAAGCTTCACGCACTCTTATGTATGGCTTTGGATTAGCAAATAGATCTAAGGCCCTCCTTCACTCAACTCAGTCCATTGCTGTGGCAAGATTGTCTATCTTTGTTTGTGGTCCGTCATCCGTGCCTTCTCAAGCTCGTTAGCCTCATATAGAAAAACAAATTGATGAGTTGAGAATTGAGCTGAAAGCTAAGCTTAGGTCATCCAAGGATCAGATGATACAGTTATGGGGTATAAATAGATTCCATCATCATAGTATTCTAGACCTAGTCACAGCACTGCAGATTTTGGATCAGAAAATGCAGCAGCAGCACAGTAACATTTTTTGTTGGATTTGTATTGAGGTATTTGATAGATAGATGCTATGGATATTTTATAATGTTTGATGGATGTTTGATGATATATTTGATGAATGATATCCAGATTTGATATTTTAATTAATAATAAAAGCATATTTAAATAATTACATATGTTTAACTTGTAATTTACGGGATCTAGAAATAATTACAGGTTTTTTGAATAATTATAAATGTTTTTATCTAAATTATTGATGAATTTATTTTCTTTCCCGATAGAATTTCATTATTACCAATGGAATTTTTATCATTACAGACGGATTTACTGACAAAAAAAAAAAAAACCCTTTTGTGACTATTTTCATGTTTATTACCAATGGATTTATCGACGAAATTTCACTATTATCAATGAAATTTTTATCATTATCGATGGATTTACCAACGGAAAAAAACCATTTACCAACGAAAAATTTTGTAGGTAATTACCAAAGGAAAATTCCGTAGATAAAACCGCTGGTAATACATCCGCCGGTAATTACCAACGAATTTCAACCATTATCAACGGTAATAGCATTACTAACATAGCTAGCACTGATGGAATTTTTCCATCGCTAAAACCATTGCTAATTCTATTATAGACAGATTTCTGACTTTTACCGACGGAAAATTCCATCGGTAAAGCAAAAATTTCTGGTAGAGGTAACAGAATTGTAGTTCCAAATTGATGACAGTGAAGATTACTGTGAAAGGGAAATTTTTGATACCAAGAATGGAACTAAATGAGAAGTGAAATAAATAATTCAGAACAAATGCATCAAATCAACCAAAAGAAAGACATTCCCTATTATAAAAAAAAAAGAAACCACAATCTGTACGTGTATGCTTATAAACACTGAAAGCAAAATTACCTTGGTCAAGTAAACAGCATCTTGGAGTTCTTGAACGGTGTCGCTCATACGATCACCTTGCACCAGTATGCCTTCAACAATGTCATTAGAAATCTGCAAGAATATGCTTCTCATAGTTAAATATAACAATAAACAATTAGCATAATAAAACTCTGAAAACAAAAAAGATAGGACTAACGTTTTTCAAGATGGTTTCAGGACTAACCTCACTTTTTTTGAGTTGAGTGGATAGCATTTTGCTTAAAGTCCGTATGCTAGAAAGAGGACCACGAATCTGCGAGAAAATTTTAAAGTTAAAAGAAAATCATAAAAACAAAACCAAAATGTATCTACAACAGGCAACAAATCTTACCTGCTCAACAAGAGCACCCATTCTGACATTATTTTGCCATGATGATTGCTGCAGTAACATTGCTTTCTGCAGAAGAAATATAAAAAATGGCAATCTTCTATGTGAATGGAACTGAACATGAGTCACAAAACTTACACTATATTTAGATCGAGGGGGAGAGGAAGAAAAGGAAAAAAAAATAATGGAAAGTAAAGGAAATAGAAAAATGATCATTTGTTTGGATAAATTTTTAATTTAAAGAAAAGAAAAGAAATATAAATTTAATAACTTTTGATTTTCCTTATTATCCTCACTTTTTAATATCCAAATTTGAAAGAAAAATAAAAAAAATTATTTTTATAAAAAATATTTTCATAAAATAATTATATTTATATTTTTATTATAACATTAATTTGATTATATAATTAATATTTTTTATAAAAAATAATTTTTTTATGAGTATTTTATATAATATCACCATTTATAAATATTTTATAATTTTTAAATTTTAACAATAAAACAAATCAAATTATTATCGAATACATTAAAAACTTAAATTAAACACAATATTATAAATAAATTAATAATTAATTAATATATTTTATCGCACTAAATATATTTAATTTTATTTAAAAAATTTATTTATTAAAGTTAAGTAATATAAAAAAATATTTATGTATTATATGTTATTTTATAAAAAATATTATAATTAAAAATATATTATAATAAATTTTTTTTCTTTTCATTATTAACCCAATCAATGATTATTAAAATTTATTTTTTTCATTCTTTTATTAATTTTAAGTATTCAAACAAGTGCTACATGTAACATTTTCTTTTCTTTCTTTTACATTCCTTTTCTTTATTTACATGTATCCAAACATTGCGTTAGAGAAGCCATCTTAGACCTTAGATATAAAAAGAAAAAAGAAGAGGCAAATCTAAGAAGCTAACCTGATCCATAACATGAGCCATAGCTAAAGTGTGAGATATATTGATTGCATTCGATCTCTGGTCAGCAGTAAAGATACCATTTTTCCTCAACGCTTCATAATCAAGAGACTGAATTTCCCAGGATTTTTTCATATGCAATCCTGGAGAGGGAGAAGACAACGCATAAGCCTCCTCCGGAACCAAGTCCCCACCCTCAGTCCAACGCGCCACCTTCTCCATCTCCGGCAGCTCCGCCACCAAGAACCCAACCACGAATGGGTGCTTCACCATCGGAAATACCACCGCTCTATGCTCCCCCACAACCACCATTTGTCGACTTGAAAGAACGGCTTCCGCGGCACGTAGTCCGGTAGGGACAGTGAAATTTCCGACTAAAATCACAATTTCGGCGGCTTTGACTCCCGGATATGACGTTACTCGACGTAACTCGAGCTGGTCCATGACGTAACTACCGGCCGGCCTGACGTAGACCGAGAGAATGGCGTCGCGTTCAACGGTTCGGCGAAAGAGGTCAAGTTGTTCAAGGGAGAGGTGTCGGAAATCGTGGCTGGGCATGATTAATTTATGGTTTCGGTGGTCGGTTTTCTCGATTCTTTGAGTAAAGTTGACGGCGGACGTAGAAACCTTGCAGATGGCGGCGGAGACAGCGGAGGCGGAGGAGACCATCGTGGGTTGGGGTTGTTGGGATTCATCGTCGTCGGAGAGGGTGTGAGTGGAGACGTGGCGGAGAGAGGTGGAGGTGCTGGGGGAGTAGGAGTGGAGGGATTTGATGGAGGGAAGAGGGATCGGTGGTTTGGGAGAAGGGTTGGAGGAGGATAGACGTGGATGGGTTTGGTTGGTGGAGGAGTTTGGCGGGGAGAGGGGTAGTTGGGGAGTTATTGCAGAGAGAAGCATCGTTCCGTAGTGTACCTGCTGGAACCACCGAGGCAGACTGTGGATGACAACAAATGCTAAAAGATAAAAGGAGCAGATTTCCGCTGTTTCCTTAAAACATTAATCCAGCCAGTTTGGGGTAAGATTAGAACAGTTGACTTGGGTTTGGGGCTGGGCAGAGAATGGGGAAGGGAAATACGATGCTCCGCTGTTTCCTTAAAACATTAATCCAGCCAGTTTGGGGTAAGATTAGAACAGTTCAGTTGACTTGGGTTTGGGGCTGAGCAGAGAATGGGGGAGGGAAATACGATGTGAAATAAGCGAGCGATGTGTACTTAAGCCACTTGGGCGAGCAGAGCCCTAGCTTTGCATTTAGGGGTCAACTCAGGTAAATTGGGCTCACGTATATCTCTTATTTTGGAGTTTCCATTTTGAGTTTACATTTGATGTATTTGTATTATTAAATTAAATAATATTATTTTGTTAATAAATAAAAATTAATGTTTTAAATAAATATATACAAATTTAATTTTTTTAGAAAAATTCGTGAGATAATATTTTCTTATTTATTTTATTAATAAAATGATATTAATAATAATATATAAAATTTATATACTAAAATATATTAAATATAAATCTTTTGTTTTTTTTTTTTAATTTTATGGCATGTTGGGTGGGTGAATACCGAATACATTATACATGCAATTATTATGCAGGAATAAAAGAAAAACAGAAAGAATTCAAAGAGTGAACCTAACTTTGCATTCTATCCAAAAGTTTAGCTCCAACTCCAAATTTGGAACGTTTCCCTCCTCAGTCCCCACCAAGCAAGGATTCAAACTTTTGACCAAAAGCTTCCCATTCCCCCCACCCCACCCAACGGCTCAAAGTTGTAGTATAACATCGAAAATTCTTGGATAATATATTCCTTTGACCCTCCGACCCTAACTGCCTTCCTTCGCCCATAAAACTGCTTCCTCTTCTCTTTATAGCCGTTGCACTCTCCTCTCTGCTAACCCCAACCCCCCCCCCCCCCACCCCCCGAAATATGACAAACAACCCTTCAGTTTCAGCGCAGCCTGAGGAGAAACAGGACAAAGACCCTCCCCCACAACCTTCACCTTCTTCTTTCAAATGTTCTCCAACCAACCCTGTTGTTTCTTGCTCTTTGAAACGTAAAAGGCCGCTTAAGATTGAGATCCCAAATCTCCTGCAAGAAATCCAAGCCAACTCCCTCAAAGTTAGAGATGTTACCCCACGAGACGAAGCCGTTTGTTTCAGTGGATTGGGTGTGGGTGTTTTCTCTGTCAAAGGCAAGAAGAAGTTCATGGAAGACACGCACAAGATCGTTTCTTGTTTGCATGGAAACTCGAACAAAGTAATAGTTGTAAATGGGTTGTTTTTATTTTTGTTCTTTATTGTAAATTTTCAACATTTTGGCTTCTGCATTGGGCTTCAATAACCAAATTTTGGGTTTTTTTTTTTCTTTGTTGCTGATTTGTAGGCATTTTTTGGGGTTTATGATGGACACGGAGGGAAGAAGGCTGCAGAGTTTGTTGCAGAAAACTTGCACAACAATATTTTTGAGATGTTGAAGAATTGTGAAGGAAATAAGGAGAAGGAGGAGGCAGTTAAGGCTGGCTACCTTAAAACAGATGAAGAGTTCTTGAAGCAGGTAATAGCATTGTGGTATTTTGATTTTTTTTTTAATTTTTATAGTTTTCACATTGCTAGAAATCGATGGTTGGCCGAGTCATGCATTTTCTAAGGAGTTTCGGAGAGGGGTAGGGGTTTGTGACTTGTGAGTGAGAAGAAGAAGCAGGAAACCCGTGACTTTGTCCTTACAAACTAAATAGTAGTAGCAGTTAAACTTCTGGCGAATTCTTTTTTTAGTTCCTTTGAATTTCAAATTCTTTCCACGACCACCTTGATTCAATTTGAAAGGTAATTGCTTAAGAATTTGTCTTGGTCGGTTGGTCCTTGGGGTTTCTTTGTTCTTGGTCCACAAAAGCTGCAGTTATTTAAGTAGTACGAGTTTTGAGAGCATGCAAATATTGATTACCGGACAAAAAAACTGAAGGATGATGATTACTGAGCATCAAGTAACTTTCTTGGCTTTGAATTGAATTTCTATCAACCTTTTCTAAGAGTGTTCTTATTCATATTAGATGTGTTAGATGCGATTTTTTTTAAATGGATGGAGCTTTGTAGGATGTGATGTTTGTAGCTTTAGTCTAAGGTTAGACATGAAAGACAATATCTAAGGTTTTTACCAATTTGGGATTTAAATTCCACCACATCATGCCATACTATATGGTGAACATTCTCATATTATTGGTGCTGCCTCTTGAACAATAAAACTTCATGAGTTGCTGGCAATTTAAGTACCCTTACGAGACAAGATTTTAATCTAGGCTGAGTCATTCAGTCTTGGCTTGAAACCCATTTGATGTATCGCATTCCAATCAGCCGGATTTGATAGTTGGTAGGTTCTATGCGCAGAAGGATGCAGGCTAGATCTGGCCGATACCTTAGACCTTTCTCAAGATTGTAACATGCAAGGCACATGTCTTGGCATGTAACTCTTGTACCATGACTATTTAGGTCAGGGAATCAAGAAGCAAGATATATTCCAATGTATGGAAACAACTTCTAAATAAACAAATATTAATTAACTGGCATATCTATGGCTTAAATTATGATCAATAAACTCATAGATGTGTAACTGTCAGATCAATCAACTGATAAACTCTTCTAAATGTACAAAAATCCGTCTTCATACTGGATTTTTTGTTAGCTAGATAGGCAAACTATAATTTAACAAATTTAAGGATCAGCCGGTTAAGTTTGAGATAATGAATGTGGTTGGCTAAGAATATGCTGTACTGTACATATATCTTATCACCAAGTTGGATAAACATATGCTGGTTATAGTCTGTGAGAGGATGTCAACAGGGGCTTCAAACTAAATATTTGGGCAAGTCCTTGTACATTTGCATGAGGAACCTCCTAAGAGGGCATCAAGATGGCTGGTATACAGATGTATCATTATGCTTACTGGAGCTTTTTGTCTTTGTCTTTTATATTCCCAAAATGCTTAGTTAACTAGTGGGAACCAATGCAGGATATAGTCAGTGGCACCTGTTGTGTCACAGCATTAATTGAAGGCAAGGAGATTGTTGTTTCAAACTTGGGAGATTGCAGGGCTGTCTTATGTAAAGGAGGAGTAGCTGAAGCCCTTACAACAGATCATAAAGCAGAGCAAGTGGATGAAAGAAAAAGAATTGAGAATAAGGTTTTTTTTTTTTTTCTCATCCAAACTAAAATGTATTCTTACGTTAGGTGCTAATGTCGTTCTGACTTTTTCTCTTGATATTGGAGCATAGGGAGGATATATTGAATTTCATCGAGGAGCTTGGAGAGTTCATGGGATACTCTCTGTGTCTAGAAGTATTGGAGATGCCCATCTGAAGGACTGGGTACTAGCTGAGCCTGAAACGAAAATTTTTCAGTTGACTCCAGATATGGAGTTCCTTGTTTTGGCTTCTGATGGTCTTTGGCAAGAGGTAAGAGAATAATGTTTATTTGATATAAAAAGAGAAACATTTAAGCACAGGAGTTCCATACAATGATTATTCGTACTTGTTTTTGAAAACCTCTTAGAATTCACTGCATTTAACATGTTACTACTTTTCTTTTACAGTACATTCCTGCAGTTGCATACTCTTTGTTGATTGGGCTCTTTTGCTCTAATGCATTTGTATGCCTTGTTTTTCTTATTTTGTGTCTTTTAGCTAACTATAAGGGTGGACTGCATAAGCACTTAACTGGAGAAAGGTAGTAGCATCTGTGAAACTGCACAGCATTTCCTGGTATAGGTGGTGAAAATGTCAAATGCAAGGAGAGGCCATTTGAAATGTTTGTTTGAGAGCATCTCTTTAAAACCATCTTCTCTCCCTTTCCCCAATACCAAAAACTTGATGTTATGTAGCTTTTGTCCAGGGATCTCTTTAACTAATACTGGGTTGATCATCAGTACAAATTACATGTTGCACGAGTGAAATTCTCTAAACAAGTCATTCTCTTTTATTTTGTTATGCTACTAGATAATTACTCTGTATTTGCAGAATATTAGTCAGGTCATGCTAAAAGACTAGATATTTCATTTATGTCTGTTGGGGGCAGTCGTTTTAATTACTCGATTGTTGAATTTGATCTCTAACCTTCATCAGGTTAGCGGTCAGGAAGTTGTTGATATTGTTACACGTCTATTGGTTGGAAAAAGACTGGGTGCCTCCGGAGGTCTCAGTAAAGAAAATGATGAGGATTATGGCTGTGTGAATGTAAGTCCATCATCAAAGATACGGAGAGTTTCACTGGTTAAGCAACAGAAAGAGATAAGTCAGTCACCAAGATGCAAGAAGAACATTGATGATTGTAAAGATAATGAAGATGAATTTGCTTGTGAAAAAGGAAGTCCACCATCAAAGTTACGCAGAATTTCCTTGGTCAAGCGGATAAGCATGAAGCCTGAGTCTCCTAGTCAAGAAAACGCCGGTTTTAAGAAGAGACCGTCTTCTGCTGGTCTTATGGCTGCCTGCAAGGAGCTCGTGAGCCTTGCCGTGAGTAGGGGTAGTTTAGATGATATTACCATCATGATAATTGATTTAAATCATTTCAAATGTAACACTTAATCTTGCTGATCATATAACTGCTTTCGTCATTAGTATCATTTGCGTTTCATAAAGAATAGGCATTGTACAAACCACTTTCATGAGTATAAAAACTGTTTAGCAGCAGATTTAGCAAACACATCGGTATACCGTGTACCCATTGACCTCCACATAGGAAAACGCCATCTTCGCAGCCTGGAAATTTGTGAGGATCGGACAATCCTTTAGTGAGTGTGGTTTTCCTTTACAAAGGGGAAACAGAACTCAAGGAATCAGATTCCAGAATTTTCGTATTGAAATTTGCTAAGGAGTGTTTTAAGCCACTTTTTTAAGATTATTATATTAAGAAAGTTGTTATTTTCAATGTAAGGGAAATTCATCAAATTAATTAATAACACTATGTTTATTATAAAATATTACTATAAATAATAATTTAACTAATCTTAAACACTGCTTATTGTTCAAAAACAAAATCTTAACAGTAAACTAATGTGTATATGCAGCATACAAGGGAATAAGGATGGAAGGAGATGTGTATAGCCGTATTATTGGCAGACAAATATCGTTTTAATTGAGTAGTGACTGGAGTGTGAAAAATTTTCTTTTCAGGAGAAGATTGACGTTTCACGTTCACTGGGCCATTTAGGGCAATCATTTAGAAGCAACAATAAAGCGAGACTGACTGATGAGACCGGTGGTCAGAAGCTGGAGTCCTTTTTAAAGCAAGAAGCCATGCATGCCACACCAGAAACTTTATCCTAGGACAAGGATGTTTGATTTTTTTTATAATGTAAATTGAATGTTAATTTTGCATAGTTCTAATGTTTACAGATTTAAAATAAGATGATTTTTGTAAATTGTTTTATTAAAAAATCTTACTTTAATTTATTAAATTTTTTAAAAATATTATTTTATATATTTTTTTTGTTTTTCTCTCTTGACCTTTTAATTTTTTATTTTTCATATTTTTTTGTGTGAAGAGAATGCATTAAGATAGAAAAGTAGTCTTATTTTTTTTTATTTATTGATTTCTATACATGTGTTGTATCAACGAATAAAATAAATAATTAAATAACTCTTTTTCTATCAATAAAATTTTTAGCATTTAATTATTAAATCATAAATTTAAAAGACATTTACATGGATTAGATATTGTAAGGATCATAATATCCAACATTCTTCTACTTAACTTATGTAGTATTATTCAAATTTATGATTTAATAGTAAAATATAATGCGCACAATATAAACTAAATCTTTTCTTAAATTGGTCAAATCATAAATCATTATTAAGTTAAAACCAATAAAGATTATAATTTGACATGGTCTCTTCCAAATATTACATTATTAGTTGTATATTTAACATGACGTTTAATGAAAGATACTACAATAGTCTAACAATAATGTTTTCATTCGAGACAAATTATGTTTATATTCACATAATTCAATCATATATATATTAACATAATGAAACATGATGCATTAATATGTCAAAAAAAATACTTAAAAGAGCTTAGAGTGTCAAATACTTAAAAGAACATAAAACTTTACTGTAATGTCAATAATGATTTTTCAATAATGCTCATTCTTTCAACATGTTCATTAAATGTTTTTTGTAGCAAACCTTTTATTAATGAATCTGTAGCCATAAGATTGAAGTTAATATGTTCAATTAGCACTCTTTTTTTATTTTTTTTTAACAACAAAGTATTTCAATTTTATGTGTTTAACACTTTTTGAATACTTGTCATTTTTAGAAAAAAAGATTGTTGCGACATTATTACAATAAATTTTCAACAATTTAGTGATATTGTTGATAATTCCAAATTCTAAAATAGAGTTTCGAAGTTATAAATCATGAACAGTGGCCTAAAAGCATGACACAAACTAAGCTTTCATAGTGGATGCAGTAATAATAGACCATTTCATACTTTTTCATGAGATTGTCCATCAGTTAAAAGAAAAAATAGCCAAATGTGGATTTTTTAGTATCCATATATCCAGTAAAATTTAAATTTGAATGTCCTATCACTTCAAAATAATTAGATCATCTATAAGTGAATATGTGATCTTTCATTTCTTACAAGTATCTCGATATTGCCTTTTTAACCCTCAAATGATTTAATTCTGGATTACTTTGATATCTGCCTAGCATTCAACGCTAAAAACTAATGCTTAGCTTGGTATAAGTTTGAGCATACATTAAGCTTCCAACAATAGATGCATGAGGAATTTATTCCATTATTTGCTTTCAATGCATTATTTGGGCATTGCATAAGGCTCAATTTATCTTATTTTTTTGAATTGGAATAATACTTGCAGAGTATTTTTTCATAAGATGTTTTTTGAAACAAGCCTAACAATCTTTATGATATGTCATAGGATATTTCAATTCCAAACACATAAGATGCCTTACCCATATCCTCTTTTTAAAAATTCTTAGAAAATTTTTTTTTAATCTCATGTAATAAGCCAAGATTATTAGGAGCAAGCAAAATGTCATCAATATACATAATCAAAAATATAAATTTGCTCATACTGACCTTTATATCAATGATGTTTTCTTTAAATCCAAAGGAAGTGATATTATCATTAAACTTAAAATATCATTGTCAAGAAGCTTGTTTAAGTTCATGTATTAACTTCTTAAGTTACATACCATGTGTTCTTTTCCTTTAATCGAAAAACCCTTAGGTTGGTCCATGTAAACTTTTTCCTCTAAATTTTTATTTAGAAAAATAGTTTTCACATACATTTGATGTAGCCCTAAGTCATAAATAAGCCACTTTTGCCATAATAATTGTGAATGAATCTTTTTTAGAAGCTGGAAAAAAGTCTCTTTATAGTCAATGCCACGTTTTTTAGTAAAACTTTCGGGAACAAGTCTATCATTGTATCATTCAATACTGCAATTCGAATAGTGTTTAGTTTTCAAGACCTATTTACATTTAACTATTTTACAATCTTCAAGTAATTCAATCTATTTTACAATCTTCAAGTAATTCAACAAGATTCCATCATTATAATCCATTAATTTTAACTTTTCTTTCATGGCATCTAACTATATATCAAAATTAACACTTTCTATGGCTTGTGAAAATAAAATTGAATCTTCATCAATTCTTAAGTCAAATTCTAATTCTTTCAGATAAATCTCATGTTCATAAGAAATAGCATATCTATTTTGCCTTTGAAACCGTCTTAATGCTACTTCACCTGGTTCATCTACTGTAGGTTCGTTAACAATAATTTCATTATGGGGTGTTTGATAATTTATTTATTATTCTTGTAAGTTTTTAAACTATTCAATAATTTTATGAACAACAATTTGAGAAGAAGTTATAGATAAAGAAATTTGCATCCTTACTTCTTAAAGTTTTACTTTGTATGGTTTCACACTTCGACTAGCTTTACCATTCTCAATGAACCTAGCAATTCTAGTTTTAACAATTCTTGTACTATAGTTAGCACAATAAATTTTATTCTCTTTAAATTTTTTAGATGACCAATGAAAAAATCAGTAATTATTCTTGAATCTAGTTTCTTCTCATGTAGATTATAAATTCTTACTTTCGTTGAGCAACCCTGACTATGCAAGTGCATTAAACTGGATTTTTTTTTTATTAATAGTTCAAAAAGAGTCTTTGAAACTGCTTTATTAGGAACCTTATTTAAAAATACAAAGTGATTTTCAAAGCACGTATCCACAACGATAAAGGTAAAGATGAATTATTTAACATACTCCTAACCATGTTTATTAAAGTATGGCTACACCTTTCTTTAACATCATTTTGTTACAGAGTACTTGGTATTGTATATTGAGCACATATGCCATGCCTTTTAAAGAATTTAGCAAATGAACTAAGACATTGTCCATTTTCAATATACCTCTCATAATATTCACCACTCTGTCAGATCTAACAATTTTTACTTTTCTATCTAATTATCTTTCAACTTCATTAATAAATATCACTAAGATATTTAGTGATTGAGATTTTCATACAATAAGTAAATATACCCATGAGGTGAAAATCATCAATAATGGTGATAAAAGGTTTTTCTTTATCAAAAGATGGAACATTAAAAAGTCTGCAAATAACAAGGTATATAATCTCAAAAAGTTATGTGCTTTTTATGGTTGTTTTCTTAATTGTGTATTTTGTATGTTTTCCTTAATATAATCCATATAAATGCCAATATCAACAAAATTCAAATTAGGAAAGATTTCATTCTTGACCAATCTTTGCATTTTTTTTGGATATATGACCCAAACGTTTATGCCACAAGTAAGCAAAATTTTCATCCACTAAACCACATTTAGTACCACGTTATAATGTAAGGTCAATAGAATTTTAACAAAAAAGTTATCAAGATTTAATTTGTATAAACCAACACAAAGAATATCGGAATCAATGAAATAATTATGTTTAAATAAACTAAAACATTCATTTCAAAACCTTAAAAGGAGTATCCAATTGTATCAAATTATAAAAAAAACTAAATTTTGAAAAACTAAAGGAATATAAAGAGTTTGAAAAATATCTAAATGGTGTATAGTGTCTAGTGTCTAAAACCAAATAATACGTTCCAATAGCTTCAACTAAAGCATTGACTCGGTTTCTTATACAAACAAAATTTTTATTTGAATTTATGGTTTAGATTGTAAAGAATCCTTGCATTGTATTTGAAACATGAGTGGTATAACCATAATCAATCCATCAAGTGTTATAAAGAACTTCTACCAAATTAGATTCAAAACATACGAAAGCACTAAGCTTATCTTTTTTTTTAAACCAAGCCTTACATATTAGAAAATCTTTTTAATAGTGTCTAGACTTTCCATAGAAGTTACACTTATCTTTCTTTTGTTCATTCTTATGGATTTGAGCAAATAACGCATTAATCTTTAATAGTCATTTATTGTCCTTTCAAGTTTTCTTTCTTAGTTTCTTTTTATCTCCTTTTTAGCCTATAAGATTAATTGAGTGAATTTCTTACTTCTTAAGCCTTGCTTCCTCTTGAATAAGCATACTTTGTAGTTTAATCACATTCCATTTATCTATTATAGTATTGTAATTTATTAGGAATGAACCGTACTCAGAAGGTAAGAAATTTATAATAAATTGGATAAGAAAATTTTTACTCATTTTCATTCCTATGGATCTTAATTTTGCTATTGTATTTGACATTTCAATGATATGTTCATGTATGATACGGGAACCATTGAATTTCATAATAGTTAACATGCACATTAATGTTCTCTCAAGTGACTTATCAATAGAGTCAAACTAAATAGATTTTTCATAACCTTTATAAATTCCTCAGCACTATCAATTTTAGGAATCGTTGACTTGATATCATTCGCTACTATCATCCATATGAACATTAAACTCAATCTATTTGATCTTTGCCAAGCATTATGAAAAGACTTTTGTTCTGTACTTCTAGAATCAATAATAACAGTAGGCTTATAAGTTAGGAATGCCAAATCAAGATCCAAAATACCTAGATGATACTAGACTTATTCACACTATTTAGAAAAATTAAACCCATAGAATTTTACAATAGACGAAGTTTGTGAATGTAGAGAAATAGGAACAAATGCTACAAAATAGATAAAATGCTCATATGTTGATGTTTTGAGTTATAATTTAAACTCATAATAAATATTCAAATAACATTCATACAAACATTAAATGTACATTGAGTTCTTCTTTAAGGGATCCAACAATATACAAAAATAAATATAATTGATACTTAATTTTGATTTCACATTATTGGCAATTATATATGTTTCAATTAGACAAGCTTGTTATCTTTGGATTTGCAAAAATATCTAATGAATTATATTAATTAACTACAATTATGTTCATAATTATAAAGCCAACCAATCTACCTTTGGACAATCCTTAAATATTTTATAATCAATGAACTTCAATTTACTCAATAAATATATATCATAATGTCATCTCATTTGTAGTATCATATAATCATGAGTAATTGAATTTTATTTAATTTAATATCGATAAAGCTTTTCAATTTGATCACTTTGGTAACTAACAAATATATATACTATAAGTATCAAAATAAATAATTATAACAATTATTTCAACAATAATAATATATAACGATAAACCAAAATATAAAGATGCCAAATGTGTTAATATTTAAGCTCCATTTGTTTCGCAAAAAATAACTTTTGAAAAATAATTTATGGAAAATGTTTACATTTTTTGAATTGAAAGAGATTTTTTATTGTTTGGATAAGTTAATAAAAAATGTTTTCTGTTGTTTAGTTGTTTTTTGAAAAATTTATTTTTTTCAAATAATATTAATATAACTATTAAAATATTAAAAGTTATTTATTATTAAAATATATTGAAATTATTTATTATTAAAATTATTAATATTAAAAAATAATTATATTTTAATAATAATATTTAATATTAAAATATTATGTTAATATAAAAATACTTAAAATAAAACTATTTATTATTCTTTATATTATTTATTAATATAATATTATTTATGAATATATTATAATATTATTTATGAACATATTATAATATTATTTATTAATATATTATTTAATAGTATATTTGTATTTATATAATATTATTTATTAATATAATATTATTTATAAGTAAAATTATACGAAAAAGTATTGATAAATAGTTATACTCATAAACAATTTTTTTTTAAATGTGTTCCCTTTTCAAATTCATAAGATAATTTCTACAAAAATGACTTCATTTTCTATTGACTAGAAAATCATTTTCTGTTAACTAATTAGTTTTTTGTTAAATAAATACTTGAAAATATGAAAATCATTTTTCGTGAAACAAATAGAACCTTAGTAAAAAAATATCAAAAAAACTATCATATATAAATTTTACATAATTAGTTCATCTCATGTATAAAATACAACATTTATATTACAATAACTAGATAGATATAAAATAGTCAAACATTTATTTACATTAATGGCTTTCATAATCATTATAAATTTATAATATTTAATTGTATTCTTTACACTTTAATAACTATTAAATTTTATTTATTTTATTTTATATTTATTATGCCACCTTTACTATTTTTCTTTACGTTATTTCTCTTTTTAATATATCATATATTCTTTAATATATATATTTATTAATCTAACAAATATATATTCATTATGTTATACATTTCTTCACTAATAAATATGATTTATTATCATATTAAATTCAAACAAGGATATCCATTGCATTTTTTCTTTCAGTATCTTGTAATTAAATGATTACAGTTTCAAACCAAAGATGAAACATATGAAAAATGAAAGAAGTTTTAATTATTGTTTTTGAGATTTCATGTGATATGTCTTTATTAACTTGCGGATAATATTAAAATTCTTACCCTTCAACATAATATAAAATAAAATTATTGACAAACAACACAAAAATAGATCATAAAAAATAATAAATAAATATATAAAGTAATCTTTAAAAAAAAATCACAAATTTTTAAAATAAAAGCTTTGACACCACAATTTAGATTTTTTATATTATGCAAATCGAATCTTAACTTTATATAGTTTTAATGTCTAAGATCATATAACAAGACAGATTTTCATAATTTCTTGTTTAAAGAAAAACCACATCTTGATCCATTATAGTTTCCTTTTAAAAATTTATTTTTATGAAATTTTTTCTCCTTCTTGACCCCTTTAATCTCTTACTTTTCACATACATTCTTGATGGAAAGAATGCATACATCTACAGGCAGAGAGAACGGTTTTACACTTTTATTTATTGATTTTTACGCATACGTTCTAACAATATATGAAATAATTAATCAAATAACTCTCTTTTAATTAATATAATTTTTAACATTTGATTATTAAATTATAAATTTAAGAATGTGAATGAGATAACGAAGGCCACATAACATCCAACAAAGGTAAGCTACTCAGCTCCAAATCAGACTCCCATAAACTTGAGCCTAAGCAGGAGGATAAAAATGAATCCAACAAAAATAATCTGTCTAGTCTTACACGTTTCTGAATTCTGAACCTCTGGAGTTGATGATGCCCATTGATGGGGCTCTCAATTCTGAGTGGAGTCTCCTGAAAGTTAGATCAATCATCTATTTTTTTGTTAAGCTATTGTAAATTATTTTTATCCAACAGAATCCCTAACTAATATGAAGTGACGGCTGAATTAATGCATCTACCCTTTGAATTAAACAGAACCCTTTCGAAAAAAAATAAAATTCATTTTGGAGATCATGGTAGTTGAAACTTTAATGAAATGAAGCACAACACACTTCGGGTAATTCCTATTCCCTCAGTTTTTATGTAAACAAAATTTGCAACAAAAAAGTTCCTTGTTTCGTTTTTGCATTTGTAGAATTACTCAATACTGCTAAATGTTTTTCTTTCACGTTTTTATTTTCTTAAAGCTAAAAATAGAGAAACGTGATCTCCTGAAAAACCCAGAAAACCCAGATACGTCCTATGTGTGTTTTTTTTTTTGAAAGATAAGGTTTGGTAAATGTCAGCTGTAGGATCGCTGCCTATTGCCTACTTTTTTTTTTTATTAAGACTCATGAACAATAAAATTGATTTTAGTGAGATTAAAAATAAAAAATAAAAATATTATAATTATAATTAAAAAAATTTAATGAAATATTTATATTGAATAGTGGAATTCAAACCTAGGCTAAACATAAGATACTTAGAGCTCATTAGCAAATTATATATAGTTACATTATTTTTTTGATTTCATAGTTATATTAAAATTCAAATACATGAAATAAGTAAAAGCAATTAAGCAAATATATACAAGAATAGGAACATTATGCTAAGGGCAAATTATAAAAAAATAATGTCAATTTTTAAACTTAGAAATAAATTAACCTATTTGAACAAAAGAAAAGTACAGTCTCTGCCAAAAAAAAAAAAAAAACAAAGTTTTTCTTTTTTTTTTGGGTAATTTACCCTTGTAGTAATTAATTTAAGATAAACTCCACTAATCACTAGGTTCCTTTTCACCCCCACCCACATGCTCCAATGAAGCTATGACTTTGTTTGAGTACTACACTTTCACATTGGCTTCAAATCTTCATTACGTAGGAAAGGTGGTTTTCTGCTTTTTACCAAAATAAAAAGCTCATCATATATTGAAGCCATTGAAATTTGAAGAAAGCGAAAAGGTGTGTTTGTTGACAAAAGAAAGAAAAGCGAAAAAAGACTAAAAGCTTACAGGGCTTTGCGTTCGATAATTGATTATACAATATATGCTTCTCTCTTCTCTCTGTTCCTCTCCCTTTCTCCCATACCTTCCAAGGTGACAATCACTAATTAATCCTCTGGTTCTATATCAAATAACCAGCCAGTCTTATTTGATCAGATCAGTATCAAGAATCATGCATGATTCAATAGGAATTCCTGCTTGCTTTTCATCTAGTGATCATAGGCAAGCTGATAAGCCAGCCAGTGTAGGCAAATCCGGTCAGAGCGTTTATATGTCAGTATATCGAATAAAGCTTGCCGGTCAGTTTTGCTTGATTACTGTTACATGGTGTAGGAATTTGTTATTACATGGCCTCTCTGTTTCTGTTCAAGGACCTGACGGGGACGAGCATTATAGTTGCAAAGTTGAGCTGAAGCCATGGTATTTCTGGAGAAAACAAGGATCTAAGCATTTTATTGTTGATGGTAGGACTGTTGGTGTGGTTTGGGACCTCAAGACAGCAAAATTCAATGGTGAGACCGAGCCGCGATCAGATTACTATGTTGCCATCGTTTGTGAAAATGAGGTTGTTTTGCTTCTTGGTGATCAAAAGAAAGACGCTTATAAAAAGACAGGTTGCAGGCCATCTCTTATTGAACCGATGTTAGTCTCCAGGAGGGAACATATATTCGGTAAGAGGAAGTTCTCAACAAGGGTTAAGTTTAATGACAAGGGAATTTTTCATGATATCTCAGTGGAATGCAACAATAATATCAGCAGCAACAGCAGCTCTGATGGTTTTGATCCAGTATTGGAGATAAGAGTAGATGGGAAACTAGCTATTCGGATTAAACATCTTCAGTGGAAATTTAGAGGCAATGAGTCCATCAATGTGGGCAAAAATGGAGTAGAAGTTTTTTGGGATGTTCATGATTGGCTCTTTGGTTCAGGTCTAAGGCATGGTCTGTTCGTATTTAACCCAATTCCATCATCTTCTGTATCAGCATCATCAATATCAGCTCCATCGTCCCCTCCATCATCATCATCGAAATCGATGCCTCTGTCAAATCAGGAAGGAAATCCTGCATCATCAGGAGACTTTGATAATGCAACGGGTTCATCCAGGTTCTGCTTGTTTCTCTATGTCTGGAAGGTAGAATGAAAACTGTACAGTGCATGACACATATATATGAGTGGTTTCTTTATACATCATCATTAATATATCATCATCATTCATGCATCATTCCCTGTGAATCAAAGGCCGTTCAACCTGATTGAGCTCCCATCCAAACTGATAGAGGGAAATGAAGGATTAGGATTTGGTAAGCGACACAAGGGCCCAAAGAAAGCTGGAAGATAGTCACCGCTGGACAGTATTGGGCCGACCAGATTGGACGAGCTTAGAAGTTTTCCAATAATTCTCCAATCTCCAATACCAATCAAGACTTTGCAATTGTTTTGTAATGTAGTTTTATAAATATATTTTAAAATTTTTGTGTCAACATAAGTTCAACAGTGTTTGTTATGATGTATGAATCCGGGAAAAACAGCTAATATGTGGGATGATATTATGCAGTTGATGGTGATGCCTTGATGGAATAACCCTTGCCGGAGCCCGTGTATACGCGTGCGTGTAGTGAAAATGGACGCTGTAGTTTTCCTTTTTTTCAATAAATGGTTGAAGTAGCTCTACATGTGATATATGGTTACTAGTGTGGAAGTTAACAAGGTAAATTGATCATCACGCTGACTGTTCGGCATATTCACATGTACATGTTTCTATGTCGTGTATGCATTACACATGCGAACATGTATGCATGAATGCCCATAAACATCTGAACATGCACATGTGGATGTGGTTGATCAAAAAAGAAATAAAAACAGAAGGGAAAGAAAAAGTAGAGTTCTGGGTGGCCCATAACAGCTTGCTTGTCACAACCGCCATTGTAGCAAATCTCTGTACTGTAACCGAGAAAGAGGACTAAGAACCTTGCTAATTTTGGGCCTGATGGTGGCAAGCATCAAGAAGTTTGGTTATTCTTTCTGGCTAGAAAACAAGCCCAATAACAGGCCTCCTGGCTCCTACCATGCTGTGTAGAGGAAGGATGTCTGTTGGCTTCTTTTCGAAAATTTTCTTTCCAACATAAAAAGCCATGGTCACATTGGAGAAAGGTTTTCGGTGAATGAGTGGTCCATCCTTCGAAAGCCAATTTTCGATCGAATTAGTTGGTCTTAGAGTGCGCTATTGTCAGAGTGGGTATTTGTCCCATTATCCTCGATCTGATTTTTTAATAGTTTTATTCGATTTCTATTTCGTCTCGATTTAACCTAATGTATTTATAATACGAATATGATTTAATTTGATTAAAAAATAATTTAATATATTTTATTATAAAATTGTGCTTTATTTATCTAAAGAAAAGAAAATTTCTATTACAATACAACTACAGTCCTCACACTCCACCACAAACTAGTATGCACTAACATTCAACATTTACATAATAATCAATATAGTGGTTTTAATATTTCAGGTAACGCAAATTCTTATTCATTACAATCGAGTGCAAGTCTTTTAATTGATTTTTGACAGCATCTTATACTCTAGCAAGCACTTGTTTAATTGTTTCTTCTCCATCCATGTATAACATATGATTCCTTTCTCTCCATATTTGATATATAAAAGCATATTAAGCAATTCACAAAATGATTGAGATCAATACTTTCCCTTTCATCCTGCTCTCTCTCCACCTGAGCTTTGCAGCTCACTTATTTTTCTTTCCATCTTACAATGCTATAATATTGTTTTGCCATATTTCTTTTGTGAACTTGCGTTCAAAATACAAATGATCCCTAAATTTTCTGCCCTGTCTACATAAACAACATTGTGCATGCATAAATTCAATTATTTTAAGTTAATATAATTTTCATTAAATATTATTTTTATATAAATTATCCTTTAATTATATAAATTTAATATTTTATTAAATTAATTTTAAATAAAATATTAAATAATAATTGTATGAATATAAATTTATAAAATTAATTTAAATAAATAATAAAAAATATATAATTACGTCTCAATCCGGAACAAAATAAAAACGTAAAAAAAACAGAAGGCTGAACGCTTGAATTTTGGGCTTTTGAATAGACCAGACGAGGCACCTCAAACTCCTGCTAGTTATAAGTAGTCCAATAGCAAAGAATAAGCCTCCTATGACGGTCCATAACTAAAAATGCACAAACCAGCTTCAACTTACAATTAATGGGTCCAATCTAAACATACGGAATTAGAAAATTGATTTACCATTTTTGCAATCAAAGCCTCACCATTTATGCTGCTTCAAAAAAGAAAAAAAAATCGTTGCCCGAACCAATGCAGTGGCAGTCCACTTATACTCTACTGGGTGGCAAAGTTTATTAACAAGACCAGTTAGAGATAATTTAAAATGCATGTAATCTGCTAGTATTATTAAGGCCAACTGTCGTCAATATTAACAATTAAACCCTACTTTTATTTTTGGAATATGCAAAGTCTTACATGTTTTGACATGGAAATCAAGTGAATTTATTTTGTTCAGTGGTCCATTCTTTGACAAGCCATTTTCAGTGGAATTGGTGGGTTGGAATAGGAGCCATTGGCGATTTGTTCAAATCTCCACTTATTAGCTGCCTCAGTGAAATGAATGCCATCCCAGTTAACCCGAACTGATGGATTCTGGCATGAATTTGCAATCAAGATCTCCTTACCATTCACAATAATCTTCCCCCCACACCTTATAGAATTGTTGAAATTATACTTCCCACCGTGGCCACAGCAAGCTATTAGAGGGAGCTCAAATCCTGTGAATCCCAAAGAACCGATATAAAGAAGTTATTAATCAGAAAGGGTTTGCTTTGCTTTATCAACATAAAACTCTGCACAAAAATTCTGCTGCGAAATTTAACCATCATTTACTGAAGAGGATTAGTTACCGAGTTTCTTGGCTTAGCTGATGAGAGTATACTTCAGAGAGTAGACATCAACATATGTAATTGCAGCCAAAGAAAGTTGTTCCCTTAATTGAATAACAACATCTTTCAGTCTTTGGCTGAAATACTGAGCCACCTCATTGAACGGACTGGCGCAGCCATATTTGTCGACCTGAGCTGCAGTGATGAGAAACCTGTCCAGTACATATGGTAGGCAGCCTACTGGCCCTGTGTTGTGTATCCAAAATGCTCTTCCTCCTTGATCATATACTCGCTGCAAGAAACACCAGATTACAAACTATTTCATCAATTATTATATAACTCTAACCTACTGTTTTTCTTGAGAGGGAAAAAGATGCTTATCTGACCTTAACAGCATCAGAAAATTGGCGGAGTACCTCTGGAACATATGCCTTTACTTGTTCTGTGGTCAGATTAAGCTTATATCCAGCTGTGAGATCGTTTTGGCCAATGTCAAAGGTGTACAATGCCATAGAAAAATAATCCTCCTTGGGCAACAATTTATCAAATACCCCTGATATATTATAATGTTAATTCCAGGATTATTCAAGTAATTTTATAGAAATGAAAGTAGTGCAATGTGCATGCATTAGGATTGCACCTTGCTTATTGAATATCTGAGATCTTCTATGAAAGTCCGAAAATTGAACCAACTGTACATCCAATGAAATTGGACTAGCCCCACTTTGAAAAATGGTTGTGTTTTGTCGCCTAATGGTTGATCCGGCAGTTGCTAAGTTGGCTCCATGGCTGAAATTCGAACCCGCTGAGTCCAGATAAGCGCTTAGGTAAGGTAATCCGAAGCTTTCAGCTATAACCAACAGAAAGTGGTATATATGTATTACGATATGCTGAAACTCTTCAAATCAAATTCCATAGTAGTTTAATTTATCAAATGCAGAGAGAAAGGAACAACAGATTGCATAATCACATTGAGCATCCGGTCCTAGGCTGCTGGAATACATCAAGAGATCTGTTTCATATGCGCTTATCTGGACTAAAAAACATTGCCATTGACTCTGTAAATTTAGATCTTTGTTCTACTTGGAGACTTAATCTGCTATACTTGTCTAATGTTAAACATTAACTTAAAATTAAGAATTTATTTGGATGGATAGTGAGATTAATTTTGGTAAAATTAAAAATAGTAATAAAAGTTATTATAATTGAGATTAAAAAAAATAGTTATTGTAGTTGTGATTGAAAAAAAAAATTTAATGAGAAATTTATATTGAATGGATCTTACTGGAGTTGAAATTCGGATTCACTGATGATGTGGTGTGGAGAACTCATATGCACTGTATCGTGTTGTGGAATCCAAACCTAAACTAATTGATTGTAAATGGAATGATCCAACCTAAATACAAAACTAAAAAAAAATTAGATATTTATTAAATGTGACATAATATCATTTTAATTAACCCTTATCACATGCAGACGGAAATGGAAAACCCTATCATATCACATTTTTGGAAAGAACAATAAAAAGAAATTATAACTCGAATACCATATTAAGAATTAAGCAACCAACTTAATAAGGGTAAATGAAAAAAGCCTATCATGTCTCTAACTTGGTAAGCGGAGATGGAAGAATTAAGCATCCAACTTGGTAAGCAGAGATAAAAAAACTATAAGATATCAAACTTAAAATTAATTAGTAGTGAGTACAAAGGCTCAATCAAAATATAAAACTATAAGATATTGAATATTTATTAAATGTTAGATAATATCACTTTAATAATAATAATAATATTATATTAAGCATTTAATCTAAAATAAATTGACAATAAGTGAAAGATTTCAATTTGAATATAAAATTATGAGATATGAGATATTTATTAGATATGAAATAACGTTATTTAAACATCTAAGTTTTAGTTTGTACATATTATTATATAGTAGTTCTATTGCATTTTTGTATAAAATTCAACTAATTATAAATATACAAAAGCATTGCAGATTGTAATGAATTAAAACTGCTGGAATACGAGTTGAACCAAGTGGATACAAACTCATTAGTATATATACACATAACCATTATCTAACTTCTAATAAGTTGAGTTAGAATTCTGTTTTAAATAAAATTTCATAGAAGTGCTAAATATAGGTCTATTTATAAAAGATTGAAATACGAGCTATATTTGGCCAAAAAAAAAAAAGCAATATGAGCTATATGGATAGAAACATAATTAATAAGATGAATTAATCTCAATTTCTCTACCAAAAGTTCTCTACTAAACTCTTTCTTACTTAATCCTCGAGTATCTTGGAGAAAAAAAAATCCTTGGGTATTCATGTAGATCCATAGGGTATGGAAATTTGTGGACAACTTGTAATACTTGTTCTATACGAGAATGATTAAAAAAAAATCACAAAGTAGATTCTTAGAGATTTGTAAAGCAAGCATGATAAATTAATTTCGAAAATTCATATTAGCATTGAAGTAAGTAATCTAAATCTATGAAACCAAATGGATAAATTTCATTATTGAAAATTGTTATTATGATTTTAACAAATGATGTTTTCAATCGAAAAAGATGTTGCAATTCAAAAAAACCAAATATTTTAAAGTAGATGGAAATCACATGTTTGACTCTGTACATGAATCATCCAACATTTGGACTTTACCTCAAACGAAGGTACACTCTGGAGATCTATCCCAATTCCCAACGTTAAAATTTCAAAATTTAAAACGTAAACGGACAAAACAAGACTATATACACTAACTTTCAAATTTGGCCTTAAAAAATTACTATCCAAGTTTTTTACTTGAGCGGGAAAAGTTTGAAATTCAGAACTTCATGGTGTTCATTTGTAACATGAGTTCAGGGCTTTCATGCCATAAATCCTGATTCGTCAAGCATGAAGTATTTTTCCTTAAAGAATGATATCAGGCAAATAGCGTTAATTAATAGCAAGCCATGTCAAGTAAAATGGATAATGAACAGAAGGAAAACTCCGAATATATATACCTATGAAATCAATTATCAGTCGGCCATCTGGATACCGACCAGCCGGGGCATGGAAATAGGTCTCTCCGTTGGGGGCAGGGGCTTATCCAAATGCCGCTGATAATCCACCCGTGTCGTAATTTGAGTCACCGAAGTTGAAGATGGCTGGAAAGTTGCAAGGCGCTGAAGAACCGCTACTACTACGTGGCAGCAATGTCATTGAAAATAAAAGGCCAATGATGACATGCCTGAAGCTCTAAGGTTCCATGAACGGGAAAAAAATAGATAGAGAAAGCTAGAAAAGGTTTGATTATATAGAAAAAGGAAAACTAATTGCCATCCATTGATAATAATTTAGTTATATTTTCCCTTTTGAAATTTAGTTAAATAATTAATAAAGAAACTTTTTCTTTATTAAATTATCCAAATTTCAAACATTCAAATTTGAAAATGGCTTCTGCAAAGAAAAAAAAAAGCTGCTGTTTCTCGATAAAAAATTTTATTCAATAATTATTTAAATTTTTAATATTTTGCTATAATCAATTAAATTTTTAATTTTTTATTCAGACTAAATTAAATCATTAAATAAATAAATTTAATTATATGATAAAATTTAATCAATTAATTTTTTAATTACAGTCAATTGAATTTTTCAAAATAAAATACTTGAATGATTTTTTTATTATAATTTAAGGATTTTTTTATATCTCTTAACCTTTCTGTAATTTTTTATACCAATCATATCCTAAAACTATGGTCATCTTTATACTAAAAAAAAAAAAAAGAAGTTAACCCTTACCAAGTTTTCATTTTATCAGCCATTATCATAAAGAAAGAGTTGAAACAATTAAAAATAATCCAACTTAAGCATGGCACTGAACTTTCTTAATACATAAAACGAAAAAAAAAACAGTTAAAAATGTAAAAAGAGTTCACTTCCCCTTCCTAGTTCCTATGACAGGCCAAATTTAATGGAATTGGAGGGTCTGAAAATGAACCATCAACAATACGTTCAAATATGTACTGATTAGCTGCTTGTGTAAAGTGTACTCCGTCCCAATTTACGTAAGTCCAAGGATCTTTGCAAGGTGCCCCCACTAACACTTCCTTCCCATGTTTATGAACCTTTGCTCCACAGCCTAAGTTCTTGTTGTAATTGTACTTGCCACCATGACCGCAGCATGTTTTAAGAGGATGACTGAACCCTGCATTTTCATATAATCCTTGTCAACATAAATCTACATCAATGAATGGGTTGCTTGAACCCTGCATGAAAAATTCTTGAGTGGACTCACCATGCTTTCTTCCTTGGCTAATTAGGGAGTATTTGACCGAGTAAACATCAACGTATGTGATTACTGCATTTGGCAAATCTTTGCGCAACTGTTCCACCGCCTTTTTCAATCCTTGGTTGAAAAATTGAGCCACTTCATTGAATGGAGAGGCACATCCATATTTATCAATCTGGCCTGCTAAGACCGGGACACGTTCCAGGACGTATGGTAGACACCCAACAGGACCTGTATTGTGTATCCAAAAGTATCTACCTCCTTGGCTATATATATACTGCACACATACAAATTACAAAGTAATAATAAATGCTTAATTCTCTTCAAATATTTGATTTAACCGTGAATAGAAGTGTTCTTTATTCAAGGAGATTGAGTTCAAAATCCCTTTTTCCCGAATCAAAACTAAAAATCGGTGGTTAATTAGTGTTTAATTCAAAGATTGCAATTTCTTTTACTAGACTTACGTGTAAGCTAAGCACTCTAAATTACGAAAGTAAGCATAACATGCATTAAAAATCCACAGATTTGCAATTAAATATTCAAGATTACATTTGTTTTACTAGCCTTAATTTTAGTGTTACCTGATAAGGTTCCATTAAAGAGTTCAATTGGAGAGTTCTCACCGTATCAGAAGATGCATTTTATAATTGACATAAAACGCACCCTATGATACGGTTAATGCTCTCTAATCGAACTCCCAAGTAGACCTTAAGCAATTGCACGCTAGGGAGTAACCAGAGCCCAAATCAAATATTATTAATTAGTGATTAATCAATTATTCAAAGATGATTGAGATTTGATATACTAGCCTGAATTATAGTCTGGAACTGACTAAGCACATCAGGAACATATGCTTTAACTTCGTCCGTAGACATGTTTAAGAAGTAACCAGCAGTGAGATCATTTTGGCCAATATCAAAGGCGTACAAGGCATTTGAGAAGTCTTCTTCCTTTGGCAATAACCTTTCATAAACTCCACCTACATTCATCGACAAGATAATTCACATGCTTACCCAAAAACAGGTGAAATTTTGTTCTTTTTTTTTTTTTGCCATAAATTGAGAAATATGATTAATGTATGTATTGAAATGTTACCTTTTTTACGCACAACTTGTGACCTTACAAGAAAATCATGGAACTCGTAGTACTGAACGTTCAAAGAGATAGGGCTGAAACCGCTTTGATGTAAAGTTGTGTTCTGAGGTCTAATCGTAGATCCAGCAGTGGCAAAGTTAGCTCCATGACTAAAGTTGCTTCCAACGGAGTCAAGAAATGCGCTTAGATATGGTAATCCAAGGCTCTGGGCTGAAAATTGAACGGTAACATCAGTCAAGCAGAATACCAACAACCAAAGATACGCGAATCTTTTGAGATAAACTCCTTTATTCTTTGAGATTCTTTAGGTGCAGTGTTCCTTGGTTGAGATATATTCAAGTTTTAGTTGATTTTCTCCTTGTGCAAAAAATATAATACTCAATAAAAAGTCGGATCATTTTATCTGTTATCAGTCATAATCAAAGACAAGGTACAAAATTACTTCATTTTCAAAGTGCTTCATTTTTTCTTATACGCTACAATAATTGAATCAGAAAGTAGAAAAGACAAACAGGATCCAATGTCACGCTTTGCACCTCCTTTTTGTGCTTGCAGTTGCTAAAATCCACTTTGCGCATAACACACTTTTTTACTTTTTTTTTTTTACTGAAGTTGGAGTCTGAAAAATGGGACCAGGAAACACCGGAAACGGACATGAATGATTGTTATAGATGGTCTTTTTTGTCACGCCAAAAACTAGTTTACTTTCTCTAAGCGTCGGTGGATGCTGTTGATGATCAGCAACTGTAATCACTAATCAGTAAAGCGCCAGTAAGTATAATTATACTGAATAATCACTGATTACTTAATGCTGACTGTTTAATTTATCTTGTTTATGGATGTTTAGGGGTCAGTGATAAAATGATGGCGGGGCTGTGAGAATCTTTCTACCAATCAATCAATGACACAAAGAAGAAAAGAAAAAAAAAACATATGACCAATGAATGAGAGAGCGAATTATGCTGAAACAACTCTACAATTTGCTTGCTATTATCATGAGCAATATTGGAAGGTCCAGGGTTTCAGATTTCATTCCTGATAGAATTTTTTTTTATATGGAAACAAGAGTTTAGCTGAGATGTAAAAGGGTACCTATGAAATCGATGACAAGGCGGCCATCGGAATAGCGGCCAGCGGGGCCGCCAAAGTAAGACAGTCCATTAGGAGGAGGAGCCTGGCCAAATGCGGCTGACAAGCCTCCTGTGTCAGAGTTTGAATCACCAAAGTTAAATATTGCAGGAAAGTGGCATGGCTTTCTAGCAAGCACCAAGGATGGAGTTAAGTTCACTAATGAGATAGCAAAGAGAGTGATAACTAAAATGGAGGATAGATCAGAAGCCATGACTCGGAGAAAGAGAAACCAAAAGATTGGATAGGAAGAGTCAGACAGGCAACTTAAAGATGAAGAGAAATTCCTACTTATATATAAATTATAACAACCAAAGGCTGAGCCGGTGATGATGCATATAATTGAGATTTTGTAGAAGTTATCCAAAACAAAGAAGATTTTGTTTCTTTTTTGTTCTCTACCTCTAAAGGGGCATTCAACTGCTTTTGTGAGCTACAAAATCGCTTAGGATTTTATCTAAAAATTAAACCACGCACTTTTTAGTGATTTCACTATTTTTCCTTATAGGATTCTCAAATTGTGAACTGATCGTCTCTGCCTGGGTCATGGTCCTCAATCCTCATTCCTAGTCACATATTTACAGTTTACCTTCACATTATTTTTCCTACTCGCTAAATGTCTTGTAAAAGACAAATTGCACAATCAACAAGCACTTTTTATATTGCAATTGGAATAAGAGTCCGAAAAATGGCATGGGACGAGACATGAAACCAATACATGATGCATGTGGTATTTGGTTTAGCCAAAACTTGTTCATTTTGGCTAAGATACTGTAATACAAAAGATCCCTCGATTGATCAGAAGACAGAAATGTATTCGTGCGTTTTCGCTACTCAGACACTACTTGCTTCAATAGATGTTTTCACTTTTCTGATAGATATGGAACTTAGGATCTTGCTTTGCAAACTAATTCTATTACTTGGGTTGCTCTTAGCAACTGTAACTTCATTTTGTAGCAACATTTGTCGTTTAAGGCTTTGCAAAGCAATGGTTTACATTCTGGCTTAGTCTGATTTCTATATAAATTCATCTAACTGGAACAAATAACGTGGTCGCGACTCCATGGCCCAATGGATAAGGCGCTGGTCTACGGAACCAGAGATTCTGGGTTCGATCCCCAGTGGAGTCGTTACATTCATTTTATTATGTTCTATGAATTTATTGCTAAAAGTAAAAGCATGCTAAGGAATGAACAAACAAAAATAGACTGCTGAAAACAATTTCATTACATGGGACAGTAAAACATGAAACTGGTCTAGACATTTTAAGTTGTTGAAATGCTTTTATATTAATATCATTTCGTGCGACAAACGTGTAGCATAAACTACTAAAAAGAAAAGATGAGACCATGTTGATGAGCTACTACTAACAGAGATTAGTTTCAGAAAAATTCAGCCACTTTTGCTTAGCCAATAGAAAGAAATCCAAAATTTAGGATACCTTAATACGAACTTCAATGGTTGTATGTAAGACGGGTTTTGAAGAGCAAATCCGTCTAGATTAGAAAGTATTTTAAAAATAATATATTGCCTTACTTCCAGTTTAGCCTTAAAAAGAGCTGATCTTGAGTGCAGACGAGAACACAATAAAATCAGCCAGCCTTGATAAATTTTTTAGCTATAACATAGACATTCAAATTTGTTTAATGGTTATTCTAAATGCAATTTTCTTACTAAACAGATGAAAGAAGGGAGAGAGAAAACAACAAAACAACGATGAACACTTAGAAAGTACTTGTACTTTTTCGTTGCAGGATACTGTGACCTATACTGCAGCTTGGGGCGTAGAATTACAAATGAAGAGGTATGCGGCATGCTTCCGTAATGGGAGTTGGAGGTTCTGAAAACAATCCATTAAGAACCTTGTTAGCTATCCACAGATTTGCGGCATGGGAATAATGAATGCCATCCCAACTTATATAAGCTGAAGGATTGCTGCATGAAGTCCCCAAAATTTCCGTTCCATTCACTATTGTCTTCCTCCAGCACAGGATGTCCGGATAATGCCCACAGCAATATGTAAGCGGATTTCCAAATCCTGCAAAAAGGGTTAGTGTTAAATATAGAACATACACGAAGAAATGTGAAGCCCGTAACTGAAAGTTGACATTTTTGGAGTTTATCAAAAAAAAATGATCAGAAAACCGAGATTACCATGCTTCTTTGCTTCAGAAATTAAAGAATATCTAGCTGAGTAAATGTCAACGTAAGTCAGTACTGCATCTGGCAGTTGCATCCTCAGATGGATAACTCTCTCTCTAAGCTGCCTGTTAAATTCTTGGGCAACTTCATTATGAGACCTTATGCAGCCATTTTGATCCACATTTTCAGTTTGTGGAGGAAAATCTAGAACCTGGAAGGGCAAACACCCTATTGGACCTGTGTTATGTATCCAGAATGTTCTTGCTCCTTGTTGGTGTAGTCGCTGAAACGGAAAAAATAAATATAGTGTTAAAACATAAACTTTGAGATTTAGATTATCCACATTCATTAACTTAATATTAATATAGTAGATTTGAAGGGAATTTATATTATGTTGTTCTTATTACTGTAGGCTAAACCATGTGGACTATATCCAGGCCAATGTTATCCTGCAGACTATCATAAATTCTAGCAGACTAATATTGAAGGTTTCAGCAAAGAGCATTGTCAAATGGAAAGAAAGATAACAATCAAAGTAGGGTCTTTCTCTAATCGAATGCCATAATTTATAGATTCTTAAATCTACTACTATATATAGATTTAAGAGTTGCCACCAATTTTTTTAATTTAAGTGTGATTGATCACTTGATTAAATATATTCTATTTTAAAGATGTCTCAAATTTGATTCGTGTATTTTTAAAATATAGATTTTAATATAAAAAATCAGATTTTAGATTTAAAAATGCGGTTACGTGTGAAAAAGATTATAATATTTTTATAGTGTTCATCCAAAAGATGGTACCGATTTGATTTCAAATTATCCAAATCATCAAGTCTCTTTATAATTTTGCTAAATAATTTAATTTTTGAAAATTGATCTTAGAATTACTTAAGTAATTTGATAAGTAATTTAAGATAATTTTTGCACCTCAAAAAATTAATGTTTCACTCTGAAAAGGCTCAATTGTTGAATTTGTTAATGTAATTTATTTACAAAATGATAAGTAAAATTTTCTAATAATTTGATAAGATTTTACTTTGATACAAATCTCCTAATAATTTGGTAAGATTTTATTTGAAAACTATTTATAAAATTTTACTTTAAAAAAATCTATTAAATCTTTCAATAATTCGGTAAAATTTAATTCAAAATTTTGATTATTTAATAATTTGGTAAGATTTAAAAATATATTATTTTATTTTATTTAAAAAAAATTAAGTTTTTTACTAGTTTGATAGGATTCACGAATTAAAAAAATATTTTTTGAGAAAAATAAAAATAAAAAATCAAATAAATTAGCTAAATAAATAATAAAAAAGTGCAAAAAAAAAAACCAAAAAAATTATATCGACTTGGCTTAGCAACTTAAATTGGCTCGGTTCAAGACTGGTTTAATGGTTTGGAAGTTTAAAAACTCGACTTGACTTAGCAGCTCAGTGGTGCAACTTTGTGGCTAAGCTTGGAAATTATGGATCAAACAGGTCGGTCGGGTTAAAAGAAGAATGTGGATTTTTCTTGGCTAGTAAAACGTTGCATTCTGGCTTAGTTTAAAAGCTAAGAAAATTTTCTGTCTTTCTATTTTTACAAGCCCTTTTCTCTCTCTACAAATTAGAGGCTTTCCCTTCTCTTTAAAGCCTAAACATTCTTCACCCTAAACTTATAAAACCACCTGCTGTTGCTGCCTCCTTCGTCGGTTTGCTATACGCCATGTCATTCTTTGCCAAAAACCCCATGAACACCGATTCAGTCCCAAAATCAAAGTCCACCTCTATTGTTTCCTCTGTTTTTTGCCACCATACTAAAGAAATTCTTCCTTTTCCTATTTTCTATCAAACCTCGGTTGCGGATGAGTTTGATTCTGGTTTGCTTTTGGGTATAGGTAATTGGTTTTTTGTTTTTAGCTTTTTTAGATTTTTGGTTTGGTTGTGTTGAAGTTCACTGTTGAGGGTTGATTTTGAATATTGCTTGTTAATTCATTGTAAGGCCAATTTTGTGTTTGGCAAATTTCAGCTTTGTTGTGTGATGGCTGCCGAATTTTTTTTAATTTTTTTATTTTGGGTGTTGAGTTGACTGTGATGAGGCTCTTAGTGATAGGCCATTGGTTTCTGGTGGGAACGATGATGGGGAGAAAATGTGGTGATTTTGTGCGTTGATAAAGACTCGGTGGGGTAGTGAGTCTTGAACGATGGTCTCCCCCTTCATGGTGAACTATTGCTATTTATTTACAGGGATTGAATCCCTTTCGATTTTGAAGGCAAATCAATTTACTAAATCTAAGGTTTCTTATGTTTTGATTTGATTTGATTGTGAATTAATTTTATGATTGCATGAATTAAGCTTTAAGAAATTCTAAAATCATCAAATCATTAATTCCCTTAACTAAATCCAAGATCTTCAAGCAAATCTGTCATATTTTTTTGTTTGGTTTTTTTATTCTTTTATGCTTTTTTTACTTTTCCTTTGACCAAAAACAAAATTAAACCAAAAAAATTAAAATTGAAATTAAAAATAAATCAAAAATAAAAAATTTGTTTGGGCTTTTAATCATTGGATCCAAAATTTTGCATCAAGGCCGAATTTGTGATTGAAAGCTTGTTTTAATTTCGATAAATTTTTGAACAAAATGAAATATCTATAGTTGTTATTTTTTGTATATTTTTTGTGAAAAAAAATTACATAAAGATATAGATACCCGTTACATCTAAGTTCAAAAATAAAATTACTTGGACCGAGTTGAAGTTCAAAGTTAAATGACTTTATTAGCATCAAAAGTCAAAAAATAAAATGACTTGGCTTTACCTGAAGTTAGAAAATAAGATGACTTGATTTTAACGGAATTTGAATGAGAAAATGATTGGATTGAGCCAAAATAAGAAATGAAAGTGATTGAATTATGCAAAAAATGAGGTAATTTGGATGAATCACAAATCAAAAAATTAAATGATTTGGATTGAATCAAAGTAAAAAATGAGTGACTGAGATTGAATCACAAGTTAAAAAAATAAATGACTTAGATTAAAACAATGTCAAAAATAAATGACTAAGACTGAATTGTGAAGTCAGAAAAATAAATGATTTGGAATGAGCTGAAGTAAAAAATAAGTGACTAGAACTGAACTTTAAGTCAAAAATATAAATGACTTGAACTGAATCGAGGTAAAAAATGACAAGGTCTGAGCCTAAATTGAGATATGAGATTAAACAATCCATAAATTTTTAAAAATCATGCCCAAAGGTCTTAAAGATCATTTTCAATTATCTTTGAAAAAAAATAGCCTTCAAAATAGATGTCTTCACAATTTTAAAATTCAAAAATTATGCTCATCATCCATTTTGTTCAAGCCTAAAACAATTGAAAACTTTTAACTTGAAATCCAAAGATTCACAATTTGAAAATTTAAAGGTTCGTTACAAAACTTCAAAGATTCGCAAGGTTTCGTAACAAAAACTGAAAGATTCTAAGACTCTAAGATTTGTAAAAAATTCGTAATGATTTCAAAATTCGCAAATATTCAATATTCACAAAGGTTTTCAAATTCGCAAGAATTTTAAGTTTAGTAAAAATTCCAAAAGTTTATAAATGACTCAAGATTTTCAAAGTTTTTAGATTCATAAAGATTCCATGTTTCATAGAGATTCCAAATTTTCAAGATTTTAAGTTTCGTAAAAGTTTCAGATCCATAAGATTTTTAAATTTGCAAGAATGAAAGCTTCATAAGACTTTTAGATTCACAAAATTTTAAAATTTACAAGAACTTTAGATTCACAAGAGTTTCAAATTCGTTAGATTTTCAAATTCCCAAGAACTTCAAGTTCATAAGAGTTTAAGATTTGGTACGAGTTTTAGATTAGAAAGACTTTTAAATTCGCAAGAGTTTCAGGTCTATAAAAATTTAAGATTCGCAAGAATTTAAGATTCATAAAACTTCAGATTTGCAAGAATTTTAGATTCGTAAGAGTTTTAGGTTCGTAAGAGTTTTAGGTTCACAAAAATCTTAGGTTCATAAAAATTTAAAATGCACAACTTCAGATTTGCAAGAACTTCAGGTTCGTAAGAGTTTCCTTTTCGCAAAAATTTTCATCATTGTAAAGATTTACAAACTGTAACTTACAGATAATATTCAAAGATTCACATTTGAAAGATTTAAAGTTTTATATAAAAAATTCATGGATTTACATCAAAGATTTCAAGATTTACCTCCAGAATTCAAATATTCTGATTAAAAAATTTTAGAAATTTTAGAAATTTATACTCGAAAGTTAAAGATTTTCATTCAAAAAATTTAAAGATTCACATTCAAAATTTATATTAAAAAAATTTTAAAGATTCACATTCAAAAGTTAAAGATTTTTATTCGAAAAACTTAGAGATTCACATCGAAAATTTAAAAAACTCATATTAAAAAACTTTGGCATTTCACAACTAAAATTTCAAAGATTCTTATCGAAAAATTTCAAGGTTTCACATTCAAAATTTTAAAGATTTACATTCAAAAAATTTTAGGAATTCCTAACCAAAATTTCAAAGATTCACCTTTGAAAATTTTTAGAGATTCACATCCAAAGTTTTAAAGACTTACATTTGAAAAATTAAAGATTCACATTCAAAGTTTCAAAGATTTGCATTTGAAAAATTAGAGATTCATATTTGAAAAATTAGAGATTCACAGTCAAAATTTCAAAGGTTCTTTTTCAAAAACTTTATGGCTTCACATCCAAAGATTTTCATTCGAAAAAATTTTAGGGTTTCACATCCAAAATTTTAAAAATTCTCAATTGAAAAGCTCATTTAAACAAAAGCACTATAACATTAAAAATTTGAAAAGTTTTCCTTATCAAAATAAAATCTCATCATGAAAGATCTTTCTCATTAAAGGATTCAAAAGTTAAAACATTTTCTCCTAACAAAGTCAAAATCTTGTATGCAATAAATGCCATTATATAATGCAAATGCCTTCTAAATGATGCAAATGATGCAAATGCATGTCCCATACAACAATGCAAATGCCATACCATAATTCAAATATTCACTCATGATGCGAATGTATGCCATTATATAATGCAAATGCAATGATTCTTAAACGATGGTATCCCCTTCCATGGTGAATTATTGCTATTTGTTTATAGGAATTGATTCCTTTTTTATTTTGAAGGCAAATCTATTTAACCAAATCTAAGATTTCTTATGATTTGATTTGATTGTGAATTAATTCTATGATTGCATGAATTAAGCCTCAAGAAATTTCAAAATATCAAATCATTAATTTCTCTTAACTAAATC